TTTTGTGGTGATCTTTAATATAGCTACGCAAATATTTTCTAAAACGTCTAGCAATATTTCGCCTACAGCTTGTTAGTTAATAATGAACACAAAAATAATTATAAAAATAAAATGATCAAAATAAAAAGATAATAAAGCAGCATTTTAGTGCTTTATATGCTTTAAATCCTGCAATATATGTGTTGTTTCATATTCGTTTTTTTTCACTTGCTGCATTCGTTATTTAATGTTTGAATAGTAAAACAAATAACAGCCATCGCTTAAATGGTTTCATTTTACTATCAAAATGTAGTATATTTTATATCATTATCAACTTTTGATATAAATACGCAGTGTAATTTAATTAATTGTTAAAAATGAAATAATTTATGTGCTGTGTTTTTATTAGTGAAAGTGCCCGCTCACCTTTGACAAGGCCTGTCCAAAATGATATTTTTGCCACTATAATGCAAATGCACTATTATTGTTGTCTTATCATTGTTTTTTTTCTGTTATGTTCAGAGATTTTAAATATTATTTATTTCCCCTCCAATTATTTTTAATCATCACGTTACATTTTGGTAATTTCCCCTCCAAATAAAATTTAGCCAGAGCTGCGCAACATATAAATAAATAAGGGTGCACATTTAGCACCCCTATTTGATAGAGCGGCATAACTGTTTAGTCACATGCTTTTGCTTTTATGAAAAATAAATAAATAAATAGTTTCGGCTCTTATTTAACTTTAATTGAACAAAGGGAGCCGTTTACATTGCGTTACCAAGGCAACTACTGATGCGTTTTGTGTAATGTTTTAAAGAGCTTTGTCGCAGCACGACAGTGGAAAATGAAACCGTATCCGTGCTGTCTGGCCCGGTTTGGCACGGAATGGAACAGTTCTGTTTAAAGAACGATTCAGCACGATAGTGGAAAAGCGGCTATTGACTTCTGCTGTCTTTATTTGTTTCAAAACCAGAAGTTTTACAAATTAAACTGGCAGCTTTGAATATCTTTTCTGCTGGAGATACTGTTGTTCTAAAAAAATAAAATAAAAAAAGTAAATAAAAAATCTTACTCATACCTTATTTTAAAACCTTGACTTTTCCAAACCGCAGTATGCATAGAAAACGGTTATCATCCCATGCCTAATGCATATTACCGCATAAAGCTAATAAGAAATTCGATTTTAAGGATTCAAAACTTGTAAACAAAACATTTAAATATGAAAAGTTATTATATAAAACATCTACATATTAAATGTCATGCCAACATGGCTGTTTATCAAAACTTTTCCAGACGCAAAATGGTGCCCACTAGTGTATATTTCAGTATTAACACTACATCATCTGCTAATGTTCATCTATAATATGCCTAATTTATAATTTGGAAAATTCATTTGATGTTTGAATTGATAACCTTAAATATGCCAATGCAATGTCTCTCTTCGCATTGCATTTGATTCAGTGTTTTAAAAGAATACATGGCATATGATATTATCACAAATGTGAGATTTAATCAAACTTGAGTTGTTTAACACCGAACAAACAGAAAGCGCGCTGTGTTTACATTACATCACTCCCATAGCACGGCACATAAAGTGTTACATACATACATACATACATACATACACACATACATTACACGGTGGCTGTACTCTTGTGTGAGCATTAAATACATGTCATGCTTGATGACGTATGCCAACGGATAAGATGATGTAACTCTTCCTAGTACAGGGAAACACTGTTCAACTCGATCAAAACATTGAAGCGCGAGTCTGCGAATACAGTAAACGTTCAATGACAGCGCTCATATGCGCATGGATATTGACCAGTAGGATATTATGATGAAGATCCCGGTGTACACATACCGAATTTTTGCGATAAAGCTCCGAGGACTCCGACGGTGCAGGCGCTCACGGCCAGCGACCTGAACCACATAGCAGGACTCCAGCTGTCTGACAGTACGGCCAGCGCTCGGAGGAAGAGGAAAGGCTGATTTTTACACTCAAAACCTGCCCACTTTTTCACTTTGACCCCTCGCTTAACCAATCCTGTACGGAGGAGTGTCTCGCGCGTGCTCTGGGGTATATGTGGTTATTTACTACAGATCCTACTATGGTGAATGCTGCTCGCTTTTTACCTTCACTCATGGTGACGCAGACATCACATGATCTATTAAGAACAAACATATATGTTCTTTGTTTATTTCCTTTTTCTTGTCTTTGCTTTTCAGTATTTTTCCAATTTGAATGTATTTTTTATGAGGGTGTTTTCATCTTAATTAAATATATTGTTGTACTTTTATTGTTGATGTTTCTTCTTCGCTTGATATGCTTTGGGAGTGCGAAATATGAGTAGCACAATTAATTTTTACATGTAATATGCAAAATGGCAATGCAAATGACAATGTTCATTCCTTCATTTTCTTTTCTTTAATAATCTGGGGTCGCCACAGCGGAATGAACCGCCAACTTATGCGGCTTATGTTTTACTCAGGGGATACCATTCCAACTACAACCCAGGAAAACACCCATACACTTGCATTCACACACACTACGGCCAATTTAGCAATTCAACTGACCCAATCGTGGCTCAAACCGCAGCAAACTTCTTGCTGTGAGGCGATCATGCTACCCACTGCGCCACCGTGACACCGTGGTATACTGTAGGTGAAGTGGTTGGGCTAAATTGGCCGTAGTGTGTGTGAATGCAAGTGTATGGGTGTTTCCCTGGGTTACTACTGGAAGGGCATCCGCTGTGTAAAACATATGCTGGATAAGTTGGCGGTTCATTCTACTGTGGTGACCCCAGATTAATAATGGGACTAAGCTGAAAAAAGAATGTATGAATGAATATATTACGCTGCGTGGAGTAAATGAACACATTATACTTCACTTCTTGAATTGAATTAGTGAAATAAATCAACTTTTCAAAGATATTATAGTTATTTGACCAGCGCCTGTATGTTTGTATGTTTTGACTAACATTTGGATCCCAGAGCTGAGTAACAGTCAGTACGTTTTACTAATTTGTTCCCTCGTTTAATATATTGTCTGTGCATTTTGATAATTTGGTACCTTGTTTTATGTTTATTGTGTGTGCACATATTTTAAATTATTTTAAAACATTTGCCTAGTTTAAATTCAATTCTGGGTTTATTTTAATTTATTTTTATTTTATTTTCAAATTACCATTTTTTTTTTCTTAGATCTATGTAGACAATTTATTTTACTAATTTGTTCCTTCGTTTTATTTATATTGTCTGCACATTTGAATAATTTTCTTAAATTTAAGTAAAGTAAAATATGCTCATTAATTACCCAAAATATGATGACGAATTAAAAAAGGTGCACATACAATTTACATAAAACAAGATAATAAAATATCTATTTATTTTGGTGTATCATGAGCTTGTTTTAATAACCTTTTGCCTAATTTTAATTTAATCATATGTTTATTGTTGTTAATTTAATACCTTTAGGTTATTTGTTAATAATTCCTTAGCATATTTCATTTTCACATAACTTTCCTTTTTATGTACCCTATATTGCACACATTTCACCAATGTTACTTAATTTTAGTACATATATATATATATATATATATATATATTTGTTTATATATATATAAACCCCCTGTTTATTTTTTCCCTGAATTTCTGTTTGATGGAGAGCAGATTTTTGCAGCACATTTCTAAACATAATAGTTTTAATAACTCATTTCTAATAACTGATTTATTTTATCTTTGCCATGATGACAGTAAATAATATTTTATTTACTAGATATTTTCAGGACAATTCTGTACAGCTTAAAGAGACATTTAAAGGCTTAACTAGGTTAATTAGGTTAACTGGGCAGATTAGGGGAATTAGGCAAGTTATTGTAATGATAATTTGTTTTGTAGACTATCAGAAAAAAATTGAGCTTAAAGGGGCTAATAATTGTGTCCTTAAAGTGGTGTTTAAAAAGTTAAAAACTGCTTTTATTCTAGCCAAAATAAAACAAATAAGACTCTCCAGAAGAGAAAATAATATCAGACATACTGTGAAAATTTCCTTGCTCTGTTAAACATCATTTGGGAAATATGCACGCTGATTTATTTAAAAATATATTAAAAAACACACAATTTAATTAACTTTATCCATATATTTTTTTTAAATAATTAACTCTTTCACCATTCTCACTGTAACATTTTTTGTTTGTTTGTTTGTTTCCTTTAGTTTGTTGTTTATGTTTTTTTTCAACTGACTTTACAGTAAAAAAAAAAAAAAACGTAGTAAAGTAAATCATGATAAATATTCTGCTTTTTAAATAAATAAACTTTTATTTAAAAGAAGAAATGTACATCTATAGGAGACTGGAACACAAGTACATACAATTACAAAGTGATAAGAACAATAAGTAATAGAAAGAGAGAAAAAAAGAGAACAAAATAAAGAAAGGGGAAGTACACATTTAAATAAAAAAGGACAAACTTACTGGAAGCATGATGTTTTCATACGTTTCTATTAACTTGCAGAATAAACATATAGCTTTAAGCAAGGAATCAATTTCAATTAAAAAAATTGGCAAATGAGGGAGAGGATTTTCTGAATTTTTTGTTTGTGGATAAAGAATTTTGCATATAATACAAAAAGCTATATTGTGACCATAATAATAACAAATAATACCTTTCAATTTAAAGATTTGTTTTGTTGATTGTGATTTATTTAAATAATTATATAGATCTGACTAAAACTTTTACATGTAAAAAACATGTGAGTCAATGTTTCCTAATTTTCATACATTTTCTGCTAGTACTAACTAGTAGCGACTGTAGGGACAGCAAATCGTCTTTAATATTCAATGACGCAGGCTTCGCTATAGGACAGATGTCAAGAACGTCAGCGAGACATAAGCTGCGTCCCAAATGGCACACTATACACTATGCACTCATGCACTATGTACTTATGCACTTACACACTCAACAGGATAGTATATGTATAAATATTCATAAGGTAAGCCTTCGCCGTAGTACATTGTAAACGTAGTGTGTGTTAATCGCAATAAACGACTTAAAGTGAATGTCATGTCGAGCTTATCATTTTTCTCATTGTTTAAAACCCGTTTGTTTTATTCACACCAAATTCACACTAATATTTGGTTCTGTACTTGTACAAACGCGTCTGTCCGCCCTCGGTTAACCAGCGTCCAAAGGTCGTTTCAACTTCCGGTCGCAGGTTGAACTCGTGTTGGACTCAGAAATGAGCGCAAGGAATATTTCTCGCTTTTGGGAATGGGGAAGGAAAATCATATGCGTCGGGAGAAACTACGCAGATCACGCAGTCGAGCTGAAAAATGCAATCCCTAGCGAACCCGTGCTCTTCCTGAAGCCCCCGTCCGCTTACATTAAAGAGGGCTCCCCAATTCTGGTGCCTTTCTACAGCAGCAACCTCCACCATGAAGTTGAGCTGGGGGTGGTGATTGGGAAAGGGGGAACCGCTATACCTCAGGCTTCAGCCATGGAACATGTAGCCGGATATGTGCTTTGCCTGGATATGACAGCTCGGGACGTCCAGGACGAATGCAAGTCCAAAGGTCTTCCATGGACCCTTGCCAAAGCCTTCAACACCTCCTGTCCCATCAGTGACTTCATCCCCAAGGAGAAGATCCCAGACCCTGGGAGCATCAATCTGTGGTTGAAGGTCAACAATGTCCAGAAACAGAATGGCAGCACGTCCCAGATGATCTTCTCCATCCCGTATCTCATCAACTACATCAGTGAGATCATCTCTCTGGAGGAGGGAGACCTCATCCTCACCGGGACCCCCAAAGGAGTGTCCAGCGTCCAGGAGCATGATGAACTTCAGGCTGGGATTGATGACATTGTGACCATGACCTTTAAAGTGGACCGGAAAAGTTGATGGACAGAAAAGTGTAGCCATTGTTGATTATTCATTTCAGTGATTTTAGAAATATTAAAATTGGGAAGCATCATGTTTATGTTTTTTAAATAAAAAAAAAAAGTGAATCATGATTTGTGTAGTTCTCATTATGAAAATGTATATATGTAACTGATTTGAACTCACTGGATAAAATATGCGTTAATTTGCAGGATCTGTATTTCTGTAAAAAAAAAAAAAGCTATAAAATTTACAAGGTCACTGTAAATTACCAATTTCAACTGTGGTGTAGTTTTACAGCACAACTGTAATCAACTTACAGTGCAGGCGTACATTTGAAACTATTACTGGCCATTTTTCAGTATTACTGCCAAATTTTTCAGTATTACTTGCAAATTTTGCAAGCCCACTGTAAATTACCAAATTGTAAAGTATTAGTAGCTATTTTTACAGTATTACTTGCAAATTTTATAGTATTATTGGCAAAACTTACAAGCGCACTGTAAATTAACAATTTCAACTGGGTTGTAGTTTTACAGCTTGTAAATTTGACAGTATTACTTGCAATTTTTAGTGTATTACTGACAAAATTTACAGTATTACTGTCAAAATTTACAAGCGCACTGTAAATTAACAATTTCAACTGGGGTATAGTTTTACAGCTTGTAAATTTGACAGTATTACTTGCAATTTTTAGTGTATTACTGACAAAATTTACAGTATTACTGTCAAAATTTACAAGTGCACTGTAAATTTACAATTTCAACTTTGGTGTAGGTTTACAGCACAATTGTAATGAACTTAAAGTTCACTTGTAAAATTGACACAATTACTGGTCATTTTTACAGTATTACTGCCTAATTTTACAGTATTACTTGCAAAATTTTCAAGCGCACTGTAAATTACAATTTCAACTGTGGTGTAGTTTTACAGCATAATTGTAATTGTTAATTTACAGTGCACTTGTAAATTTTATAGTATTACCTGCAACCAAAACTGCCATAATTTTTTGTGTTATTTTTCTAATGTAATTCTGAGCTTTTTTTCCTTTATTTATGGTTATGAATTGCATTATGGGATGTTCTGTCAAGTTTTGATGTTGTAAATTCAACAGTGCATTTGCCAAAGTGACCTTTTATTGGCATTTTATTAGTTCAAAGCAATATATTGTATTATAAATAATATATAGTGAAATAAGTCTGTAAAATGACAGGAAAGGCTGGCAGTTTATAATTAGGTTTCGTAACACCAACCCAGGCAATATATTACTCCAAATATTAAAAATGTCAATCCAAAGTAACTTCTTCAAACTTTTCAACATCAACAGTTGAAGGAAAGGTCAAGATCCGATAATGCAATACAAAAGATTTTCACAATAATACAGACATAATCAAACATCTTTTAAAAATTGGACTGGCTCAGACTATAGGAGAATTTTCAATATAATATTGCAATTATAACATTCCTTCAATGGGGGGGGGGACATTTTTTTTCATGTAAGCTCTGGGGAATTAACTTTAAAAAGTCAATTATTGTTATCAATGTAAATACAGGTACAACCATATATGGTTTCTTGTCTGATTTGAAAGGCTTAAAAGAGGTCTAAATGTACTTTAATCAATACAAAAACGTGTACACAGCAAAGACTGAACAATTATAAAATACTAATTAATTACTATTAATACTGAATAATTTTATTAAATCTTTGTGCTTTACCACCATCTTTCAAACCACTAAATAATATGTTTAGGCATGTTTGCCAACATTCAGTTTTTAAGCATTTAATAATAATAATAATCTTGTTTCATTTATTTTAAATAGGTCTGATTCCAAACTGAGTCGCCTGGGCCTAAAAGTTAAAATATGTCAAATTACTTTGTTTACCAGAACTAAATGTACTTTATTCAGAGCACAGTTTACACATCACAAATGGTAACATATTGGCTAGATTGTTAACACAGGGGCATATCAGTCAAGAAACATGTACAGCACCAGCATATGAATGATTAAGCAGTTTAATGTAAAGCAAACGAATATTACAGATATGTTTGTTTGTTTCTTGCTGTCCTGTTTGCTTTTACCATCAAAGCAGTGTGGATTTGTTTTTACGTTCAAAGTGTCAACAAACTCGTTACATATTTAGTCACACCAATTATTGATTTACTGATCCGATTTAAAGAAGAGATTTTAGACTGTGAGCATCTTCTGGGTCTCCATCAATGTGTAACAACAGAAACAACCAGCATTTTAATGTGCAAACAATGTTTAGTCAGTGATTGAAGGACACATACACTAATATACAGTCGGAAACTGCAGAAATAGTGTCCAAAAAAGATTCTTTTGCATTGTGTGATAGTTTGTATTTTAAACATTGAAGTGTCCTGATTAATTAAAAAAAATGAGCAAACAATAATGACTGTCAAAGTTTTTTTTGTCATGATTTACAGAAGACATCAATTCATTCATTTTCCTTTCATCTTAGTTCCTTTAATAATCCAGGGTCACCACAGTGGAATGAACCGCCAATTTATCCAGCACGTTTTTAAAAGACTACGTGACCCTGAGCCACAATACCAGTCGTAAGTGTAATGGTTTTGAAATGGCGATTGATAAATCATCTTGCCACAGCCATATCAAGACCGGTTACTCACTGAAGCTAAGCAGGGGTGAGCCTGGTCAGAGTGGGAAAACCAGGGAACCACATAGGAAAACCAGGTTGCAGTTAGAAGTGGTTTTAGTGAGGCCAGCAGGAGACGCTCAACCTGTGGTCTGTAATGCCCCAGTAAAAGTGAAGGGGACACTACACTGTCAGTGGGCGCTGTCTTTCGAATAAGATGTTAAACTGAGGTCCTGACTCTCTGTGGCCATTAAAAATCCTATGGCACTTCTCGTAAAGAGTAGGGGTGTAACCCTGGTGTCCTGACTAAATTCTCTCCATTGGCCATTACAATCATGGCCTCCCGATTACCCCCATCCACCGAATTGGTTCTATTACTTTCTCTTCACTTCCCCAGAAGCTGGTGTGTGGTGAGTGCACTCGCGCCATTGTCCTGTGGCTGCCGTCGCATCATCCAAGTGGACGCTGCACACTGGTGCTGGTGTGGAGAGACGCCCCTCATGATTGTGAAGCGCTTTGGGTGTATGGCCATACACAATAAATGCGCTATATAAATACACATTACTTACTTACTAAAGGCTTAATAAATAAGCCTTCAATTGATGTATGGTTTGTTAGGATAAGACATTATTTTCTAATATCTAGAATCTAGAAAAATCTAAATATTTAGAAAATCATCTTTATAGTTGCCCAAAATTAAGTGTTTAGTAATGCACATTACAAATCAAAATTATGTTTTGATATATTTACAGAGGGCAATTTACAAATTATCTTCATGGATTATGATCTTTACCTAATAATCTTCAGATTTTTGGGCATAAAAAATCTATAATTATGCCCCATGCAATATGTATTTTGCTATAGTCAAAAATATACCTGAGCAACATAAGGTTTTGTGTTTCAGGGTCACATTTAAGTACAGTATCACTGTGTAGCACAAGTACTGATTACTGTCATTTTAAATATCTGAGATACCATCTTTTGTCAATCAGGAAGTATTTGGTTATTTAAAATATAATATAATTTATTATGATCACTTAAATATATAATAATCTTCTTTTTTTAATTATTGTATGAATATAGGTTACACCGAACATTATTTGACCCATCTTTTATAACATACAATAGCTTTTTGTAAATATAATTTTCCCTTACAAACACCAAAATGGCTTTGAAAATTCATAAATTATTTAATGTGGTTAATGTGCAAAAAAACTCCAAAAGATTATCTCTCTATGTCCAACTGGAGCAGCATAAATGATCAAGTCAGCATTGGGATTTGTACATTAACCAAAAACATGTAAAAAGTAACTAATAATCCATAAAAACTAAGATAAAAGGTGCGATGCCTTGAAAAGTTTGGAGTCAGTCCACAAAAAACTGTTTAATCATAATAACAAATGTTTCTTGAGCATCAGGATGATTTGTAAAGGGTTGTGTCACAAGAAATTTGGGTAACACTTTACAATAAGGTTGTATTAGTTAATGTTAATTAATGCATTTATACGAACATGAACAAACACTGCACATCAAGTTTATCAAAGTATTTGTTCATGTTAGTGACATTAGGTCATGTAAATGCAGTCGTTCATTGTAAGTTCATGTTAACTCACAGTGAATTAGCAAATGTTAACAAGCATTGGATATGGATGCTAATAATGCATTAGTAAATGTTGAAAAATTTGATTAACAAATGATGTACAAGACTTATATTTACTACATTAACTAGCATTTACTAATGAAACCTTAATGTAAAGGGAAATGCTTTAAATCACAGGGAAAAAATGACACTTTAAAATGTTTAAATAGGAAGAACACATTTTAAATGTTAATAACATTGTTCGTTAATCCAAAAAAAAAACTTGAACTAATATTCTGAAAACAAGAACGGATTACATTTTAAAGCATATCTGATTAGAATGAAAATATCTAACATTTTAAAGTTGTAACAAAATATTCTGACCCCAAACTTTTGACCTGTAGTGTATCTTATGCTTATTCCTAAAAGAATTGATCATGTATGGTTGTGCGTGGTGATTGTCAGTAGCAGTAATTGCGAGTGAGCATCTAAATGTGCCTCATGAGGCTGTTTTACACATCCTCGCTCTGAATGTTCCTCGCTGGGCTTTTCTTCAGAACGTTTCATTCGCCATCCACATGGTAGACACATCTGAGCTCCTCCATCCACTCTCTCTCACATCCACAGGGCTCTACTGTTGCTCATTCTTCACTGGGAAACAAACACAGAGGGTTACGCAACATAATATAAACTGACATACTGTAAGTTATTACTGAAACCATAAACCTAAAGCCATAAAACTAAAACCACTTCAAATACATGTATTGGCCGCAAAAATTGGCCCTTCAACATACTAACTATTGTGGTCTAAAACCAGGCGTTTCAGTTTCATTGTTTAACACCTGTATGTATATATATATATATATATATATATATATATATATATATATATATATATATATATATATATATATATATATATATATAAATAACCTTATATAGAGTGTAGGGGAGGATACTTTGGAAATGTAATCGATTACAGATGACAAATTACCATATTTAAAATGTAATAAGAAGTGTACCTTTTCAATTACTTTATAAAAGTTGGGTAACTGATTACGTCTGATTACTTTTTGATTAACTTAATGGATATTTTCAACTAAATCATTTTCAAGCATTTATACCAAGCAGGTGTGACCTTAAAGTAGCACTCTGTTTACTGTTAGAATTTCAAAACATTTCATTGCTTGAATTAAGATTTTATTATTTTCATTTTCATTTTAAAGTACAGCCACCACAAAACCAGTCCTGAAACAAAAACATTGTTAACTGTTGTTACAGAATCTAAATTTTAGTTGTGCATGGTGACTTTTGTGGCATTTTTGCAAAAAAAAAAATACATCCAAGCTATTTTTGCAATTTTCATTTTTAAATCGAAGCAACTAAAATCCAAGTCAATCACATCTTGGTGATCAATAAAACTGTCAATGAAACATATGAGGCATAATTGTTCAGTTCAACTGTTTACTGCAAATAATATGCTGTACTAAACAGAAACAAATTATAGTAAATAACAGCACAAACTAAAAATCCAATAAATTCAGGTGTAACACATTTAAAATACTATAGTAATTTATAGTAAAGGGAAATATTTAATTTTTTATTGTATGTATATATGTATATACTGTGTGTTTGTGTGTGTGTGTGTGTATGCATATATATATATATATATATATGCATATATATATATATATATATATATATATATATATATATATATATATATATATATATATAAACTGAAGTCAGAATTATTAGCCCCACTTGAATTTTTTTTCTTTTTAAAATATTTCCTAAATGATGTTTAACAGAGCAAGAAAATGTTCACAGCATGTCAAATAATATTTTTTCTTCTAGAGAAAATCTGATTTATTTAATTTTAGCTAGAATAAAAGTAGTTTAATTTTTTAATATCCATTTTAAGGTCAAAATTATGAGCCCCTTTAATCTATATATTTTTTGATTCTTTAAGCTGTATAGAAGTGTCTTGAAAGTGTCATCATGGCAAAGATAAAATAAATCAGTTATTAGAAAGGAGTTATTAAGATTATTATGTTTAGAAATGTGTAAGAAATTAGGGAAAAATAAACAGGGTGGCTAATAATTCAGGGGGGCTAATAATTCTGAATTCAACTGTATGTAATTATAATAATATGCATATATAGTTTGCAGTAAATGCACATGTAACCTTTAGGAATGAACTTCAGAGAGCTGCTAAATATTCAGAAGCGTGAGAGGCCGTGTTTGGGTCCGTCATTCACAAACTCATGGCCAAGACCATTTCCACACTTTCCACATCTGACCTGTAAAAGATGACAAATTATTAACTGTTCACTGCCTCCGGATGCTATATTAAGAAATTCTCTCACAGGCTTTTTATTTTGTCAGCCAGCCCAAACAAAACCGCCATGTTTAAGATCTGATTTCTTTAAAAATTAGTGATCTTCACAGCCTGATAGATGTACGATATATAGTGAGGGCGTACTCTCACTTGGCACAGTGGCCTTGGACTGTGCCGAAGCGCGGTGGTCCCCGTCCCCCCCCCCCCCCCCTCCCCCCCCTCCCCCTCTCTCCCCGATGGCCCACACTCACACTGCATCTATACCTTCTACCTACCTGCATTAAATTCCATTTTGCCGCTGCCTATCTTTAAAACATGAAAAATTATTTTACCACAGTATTTTCAATGGAGTTCCTGCACTAGCCTGCTGCTCCAGATGGCGTTAGCATTTACATAGTCTTTCATCTCAGTTGAATGACTAAATGAATGCTTAAGTCTATTTAACTGATTGTATTTTAAATACATTACAACATAGATGCTGAAAACAGAAACCTTATGACATTGAAAATAGTCAGATAAACTGTTCATCGCTGGCTGAAAACAGTAGCTGTGCATATATCCCATTGAGCTGACCTTGTAGGCGCCCCATCTTTCCTCCTGTTTAGACACGCTGTCTTCATGGATGGTTTCAGTGAAGGCTGGCCAGGGGGACGAGTGCTCATATTTGGATCTGCTGGAGAAGAGCTCGTATCCACACTGAGCACACACATACATGCCTGCAGGAGAACAAATCTCATTCGTTATCAATAATTCACTCAAAAGCATTTAGGCTAAGTGGGGTTCAAAATGTTTTTAAACAAATAGAGTAAGATGTGTGTGTCAATGAAGACAGGAGTAATAATGACAAACATTCAGCCATTCAATCATATTCAGTCATCTCAGACTGGTTTCTTGAACATGTTAATGAGTTTACTGTACTCAAAAGGCCTCCACAGTCACTTGATTTTAATCTCAAAAGAGCACCTTTTGGGTGTGGTGAAACGGGAGATTTGCATCATGGATGTGCAGCCGACAAATCTGCAGCCACTGCATGATGCGATCATGTCAATATTGATCTGAGGAATATTTCCAGTAATACTGAAGGCAAAAGTGGGTCCAACCCGGTACTAATAAGTAATAATAATAAAGTGGCCGCTGAGTGTATATTATATAACACACACAGAAATATCAAAACAAACTTTTTTTTATTTGTATGTGATTACTCTATGTCCAGCAACAATTAAAAAAGGCATTAACTATTGTGTTTTTGTATTTAAATATAGTTTAAAGTTGAACAAAATTGCAGTTTGACCAATTAAACAGATGACTGTTCAATTTCTTACGGAAAAAAAATACATTTTATTAAACATTGACAAAGTATTCAGCGATAGTGTACATCATGAAATAATGTTTATTCAATATTAGCATAAAAAACAAGAGGAGTGACAACAAAATATGATATATAAAGAAGGAAAGTAGTAGAAAGTTAGTGATTGAAATTTCTAATCAAAAGTATGATACAAAAAAGGGGGAAATTGATAACAATTACAAAAACATTTACCAAACATTTACCAATAGTTAGACTGCTAAGAATAATATATGTAACCATACCTTTATTACAGTATTCATAAATATGTATTTATTATTATAAAAATTAATATCAAATTATAAACTTTAAATGTAGAAAATATTATATTATAAAAAATACAATTGTTGATCCACCTAAACTCATGTCCAATAAATATTAATATAATATTAATACATATTATCCTGATCATATACAACCTTTAATAATACTGATACACCATGATACGATAATGACTGATATACAAGTCATCCATAATATATCAGTAAGCAAAGAATATGTGATTACCTATGGTTAATAAAAGTTGATGATATTGTTAATCTATAAACAACTAATGTTGACAGATTAAACCTCATCTTAAAGTGTCACTGAAAGCCCTGCATTTTATTATATGCAAGAAACAATAATGTTCAGCAATAATTATAGTATATCTTCTCGAATCAACGAGAAACTCGTGTAAAACTTTAAAAACAAAACATTTTCGCAACTTTAACGTTCAAACGACACAAGTTTGACACATACCTCCACATTACATAAGTTGTCTTGTTTACATGTTACAGCACACAGGGACAACTTACCGCTCTCAAAATGATCTTTATAAATCTCCCCTCCAGAGAACGAACAGAAAGACATGTTTAGACGGACTGTGATCAACTGAAAGCGCACAACTGTAACTTTCTGTGTGCCAGCTGGTGTTTTATAAAGTCTGGATCAGGTAAATGGAGGAAGCGTGTCTGTTGTACCCTGGTTGTACCACGTGTTTAGGTGACCTGCGACAAACGACCGTATGGCGGCAGTAGAGATTAGCAGCTCTGACCTCTGACCTGTCAAGTTCATTCATTCATTTTCCAGTCACTTTATTTATCAGGGGTCACCAAAGAGGAATGAACCGCAAACTATGCCAGCATATGTTTACAGAGCTGATGCCCTTACACCTGTAGCCCCGTACTGGAAAACACCCACACTTATTCACACACAGTATACAAGTTTACAGCAATAATACCTTCATTCAGACTGCTGTCTTCGGTATTGATGACCAAAGAAACAGCAGAAGTGAAAGATTTGCAAGCCAAGTTGTTATTTGGAGTTTAAAATGTACTTCCAGAAGAATACTGTCACAGTGACGCTATATTTAACTTTTTAAATTGCTCTGATGAAACGTCAAATTTGATTGTCAAAACATCTGTAGACATGCCAGCTCTGTCTATGTGTGGACCAAAGAACTGGAACAGCCTTTTCAAGCACTGGTCATACATATTTTGTTGATACTGACTGTTCTAATAAAAATGAAAAGGCATATTTGTATGCTGCAATATTGTTGCAATTTAAAAACTGAATTAAAAAATACAGAATTTTTATCTTTATCATATTTACACTCAAGAGAGTTGAATAAAATAACAAAAGTGTTGATCTAAATTTCAACACTTCAGATCTCAAGAAATCAGATCAAACATATATTTTAATAAATAAATAGGTAAATAAATAAATGAATAAATAAATACATACATTTCTGCATAAATAAAACAATAAATGAATAAATAAATACATATAAGTCCTGCATAAATAAAACAACAAATAAATTAATTAATAAATATGCACTATATATTTATTTATGAAAGATTTTGTGTGCGTGTGTGTGTGTGTGTGGGTACAGTTAAAATCAGATTTATTAACTCCCATTTTGATCTTTTAAATATTTCCCAAATGATGTTTAACAGAGCAAGGGAATTTTCACAGTATGTCTGATGATATTTTTTAATGAGCCTGTGCCTATAATGCCTATTGGTCAATCCTGCCCTGCATACCAGCAAGTTCAAAAAATTTCAACATTGTTATGGGAGCTAGCAATCGTCTCCCTCCTAAAAAAGTGTATCTTTCTTATCCGACAAAGACGTTTATAGGTCAATTTTGTTTTTCTAATTAAAAAAAAATAATTAGATTTGTTTTTTATTGAAAAAGTTGTTATATTGTCCCCTGTAATCTCTTATTGGATTAATATATTTTGACATTTGAGATGGGGAAAAATATGGTCTTTGCAACAAAAATAATTCTTCACTAGCAAGGTCAAAGTGTCTTAAATTAATCAACAAGTTTTATCATATTTTATCCAATTTTTGAAAAAGTTTCATTCTAAAATTGATGTAAAATGTTCATTTTAGCAATTTCATACTGAAATAGTTTTTTATTTAATTTGGAATTGTAATTATGCTGTACAATTTTGGAAACACATTAGCTCTTTTATTTATGATAATTTACAGCAAGATGTTTCTGTTACTTTTAAAGAAATTATTTTTGGTTATTATAAATCTGCCTGTATTAATGTTTGTTTTGTTATACATTTTATTTATTTTCTTTGTAAATTCCATATCCACAAATGCAAATTTACTAATGCCAAACCATATTTTCCCGTTTTTTTTTTTGCAGGAATTTTGTTAAAAATTACATTAAATTTCATTATCTAAAAAAAACAGCCAACAAAACTGTTTCATTTTGTAATCACTTTAAGTTATGTACTGTAATTGATTCTTAAATGTCTTACCCTCAAGTTTATATCATGTTCTTTATTTTCTTTCTTTCTCTCTTGTATCTTTTTCATGGATAGTGTAATTCATATTCTGTATTTTAAACATATATTGCTACAAACTTCTCAACTTTTTTTGCAAACACACACACACACACACACACACACACACACACACACACACACACACACACACACACACACACACACACACACACATATACCAAACATTTGGTTTGGTAAACCAAAATGAATTAGATTTTTTATGTCTATTTATTTATCTACTGTTTTTGCAGGTTTCGTCCTCCATACAAAAGAGTATAGAATCAATTTTTATCTAATCTAGTGACTCTAAGCTCTTTGTTCATAAAAAAGAGTCCCTCTCAGATTCGTGTATTTTTGAAACTGCCGACATGTCGTCACTTCCTCGTGGCGGCGGTCGTGCTGCGGAAGTGTTTGAAAGTGCCATTGCGCGAGACTAGCGCGAGCTGATAAGTAGGCCTCCACACGCGGCATGTGTAAGTGAACTCTTCTGAATTAAAAAAAATACTATATTTAAATATAAACGTGCAGTTTGTCTTAATAATGTCGCGTGGCATGGATTAAAACAAGTATAAACGCTAGTTCGCGGCCAACGCTTCACTTGTTGTGTGTGTACAATGATGTTTATGTAGGATTAACGTTAGCGATAGACGGCCGTTACTTGTTGCTTTAGGTTTCGAAGTTTCGCCTCATGTTTTTGTTTCTGTAACAAGTGTGTGATAAGTGTTTTACGCGTTTATAATGCTTTAACGTCGTGACCGATTGTTTTTGAGTTGCTCTCATGCATATGGTGAAAGACTAGGCCTCGGCATGATATGCACTCCTGACCATGTGCATTGCTTGATTGTTTCATGCTTTTATGCCTTCATCAACTGAATAACAATTGATAATTAAGTCCGACAAAGGCTAACAATTATAACCACAGGCTTTGTCATGTTAATTTCGGTTATTGTATCGAATCGCTGGAGATGCGTGTAACGTTATTTCTGTTAGCTCTTAATCACAAACAAAGAATCGGGTCAGTTATAAGTATGTATGTAATGTTTTAAGTATGTAACGTAACGTTACCAGATGTAACTCACAGATACGTTAATATCAGTTTCTGTGAAAGATTGAGACTATTAAACGCTTATTTTGGGCTAATCAAGGTACAGTCATTTTGAAATAAGTGTTGTGAGTAAAAGTATGTTTAAAGACGGATATATGAAATGTACAGAAGTATTATTAAATGGATAACTTTATTTTTAGTAATGTTATCCCTATATAATATACATAAAGTGAAAGTAGACTGAAAAACAAAATGCCTGAAATTGAAAGTAAAGTATCTGGAAACTATTCAAACTTTAAAAAACTGGCTTCCAGTGCATTTAATTTAATTGTGTAAACTTTTTATTGTATTAAAACAGTTGGTCAACTTAATCATGCCGTTTTCATCTTTTTGGTTTCAACTTTCATTGTTTAAATCATAATAAGTTAAGTGCAATCACTGCTTTAATCTAAACACTGATGTGCAGGACATGTAAAAGGCTATGGTTATGCGTAGTAGTCATTGTTTAATGACCCAACACTTTGAAACCAATTCACTTGCATACAAACTTTAAAAATAATTCTTTCAATTACTTTGTTGCTATCTTTTTAATCCATCCCTATATACATACATACATACATACATACATACATACATGCATATACACACACACACACACACACACACACAAAACATAAAAGTGTGTACTGAAAATGTCTGAAATTGTAGGTAAGGTATCTGGAAACTATTTGAAACTAAAAAAATAAAACTTGTTTGCAGTGTATTTAACTAAATTGTGTATCTGAAATACTTTTTTATTCTTTTAAAAAATATTTAGTTGATTAATCATGCCGTTTTGATCTTTTTGGTTTCAGCCGTCATTGTTTAAATCAAATAAATAGTTATATACTGCTAAATATATAAACTAAATATTAATCTAAACAGATTTGCCATACAATGAAAAGGCCATGTTTATGAGTACACTGTTAAACCCTGGAGTCAGCTTTATCAAATTAAATGAGTGTAGTTAATTTAAAATAGACTTAAAGTTAATTCTACTCATTTGTAATGAGATTTGAACTCAAGGTTGAAGGTAATAAGTTAATACACCTCATTATTTCAACTTAAATGAAGTTCACAGTACTCTTAAAGATTAGTTATCTCGAATAGTTTGTAGCAATCGGTTTCCTCAAACGGTTTGAGTTGCCTTAACTTATTGGGTTGTACAGATCTCGGTTAGTTTGAGTTCTCCATTTATTGGGTTTTACTGTGCTCAAATTGCTTCATTTACTCAAATGGATTACGTTCACAGTACTCATTAGGATTAGTTTTTTAACTTAAACCATTTGAGGAAATAGTGTAGTAGTCAGTGTTTTATGACCAAACACTTTTAACTAATTCACCTACATACAAACTTAAAATAATTCTTTCAATTGCTTTGTTGTTCTTTTTTTGTTAGTCACTCGGGATGTAAGCACACTGCATAAATGTAAATTATTTGTTAGTCCATCTTTTCTGCAAAAAAGAATACAGTTTCAGTAAGTAATCTGCAAGATGATAGATGCGGTTTACAAAGGTTTGGCAATGGATTCATAAGAGGAAGTAAATTGTGAAGGCATGAGGAATGTAATTGTTTGTGGTTTGTGTGCAGGATGGAGTGGCAGCCGGATGAACAAGGCCTCCAGCAGGTCCTGCAGCTCCTCAGAGACTCTCAGTCTCCAAACACAGCCACGCAGAGAGCTGTGCAGCAGGTATCCACACAACACATCACAGAATTACCTGCTATTTACAGAAATCAAGTGTTTAAAGGGACAATATTGATATTCTCACATGTATTGGTATAATAAAGAAACTTGGTCTACCAGTGTTTAAATGCACTTAAAGGGATAGTTCACCCAAAAATGAACAAGCTGACAAAGCCGCCAAAACAGCCCTAACAGGAAAGCTGAAGGAGTGCAAAATCCCACCTTCGGATCTTAAGCCACTATTAAAAGGATATATTCTCAACAAATGGCAATCAGAATGGGATCAGTGCCCAGAAAATAAACTTTTTGAAATTCAACCTGAAATAGGAAAAAAATCTAATTTATTTTTTAAGTCAAGACACGATGAGATTGTGTATAGAAGAGGCACACAAGACTCACACATGAATTTACTCAAAGGAGAAGAACCACCAAAATGCCTTTATTGCAACAGAAACCAAACAGTTAAACATATTCTTGTGGAATGCCCCATTTTTAATATCATCAGAAAACAAAATTTATCTGGAGAGACTTTAAAGGAAATATTTTTAAACGTGAATCCATCTAAAGTTGTAGAATTTTTATCAAAAGGAAATCTTAAACTGTTTTAGATTTTTATCTTATATATTATCATTATTATTATAATTTATATATTTTACCTTGTACATTATTTATTGCTGTTGATGACTTTTTATTGTTAGAATACTTTTACTTGATCTATTTTTTTTTGCCATGACATAGCCATAGACGCAGGGGTGATAGCGTTCCGGCACCACGCCGGATTTCCGGCGTACTGTGGCTGCGGGGGAAAAAAAAAATCAGGTTCACGGATATTGATCTGTCATTTCTCTAGATTCACAGAATTCACTCACTGCTGAAAGCGCCGGATTGGTTTTTATTAAGTGCCATTTTGTGTGCTCGTGAGTCATCTTTTGAGTGTAGACGCCATGTAAATAAAAGATTCATTGTGTAATTTAGAGAGCTTTATAAATTATAACGGATCTTTGTGAGATCTCTATGAACTAAGATTAGTGACGCTTTTTAGTGATAATAAGAGGAGCGTGCTTTGCACTTTCCAGGCTATAATCCATTCAGAATTTGTATGAAACTTTCGTTTTCGGCACATATACGCTGATATGTTTTGGGAATGACATCTGCATATTTACGCTGGGTTTATTCTCGAAATAACGGTGAAGAAATAGACGGGACAAAAATATATTTCCCCCTTCTCCTTAAACAACTTAGTGTTTCAGCTATGAAATAGTTCAGTTTTGTATGTAGCCTAATGGCAAAGTGTTTATATTTAGTTTCGTTTTTTATTCAGCTTATTTAGAAAAACGTTTGGAGCATTTTTTATTCGTTAAAATTAAGTTTTTTTTTAACGAACAGCGCCCAGCGGAAGACCATCATTGTCTGTTTGATCAGTTTGCCTTCTCAGATCATCACGACTTGCCTAAAATAAAAGATATAAAACAGTTCAAGTATAAAACAATGGTAGCTTAAACGTTAAAGAATGTGTGCTATTAGGCGCATAGTTTGCTTATAAAAAGCTTGCAGGACATCGAGGCGCCAGAGCAATCACTTGCATTTTTTCAGTGGGAGCAATTTAAAGTTATCCGTCATTTTTGCTCACAAAGTACGAGTAATACATCAAAAAACGTTACAGCGTTTTTATAAAATAAAGAAAACCAAAATTATGCGCTTTCTGTCGTCTGGTTTTTGAACAGGAGCGCTTAACAAAATGAAGCAAAATGTATATGCCTCACAGACATAATAAATATATTTATAGAAAGCTTTAAATTATTACTTAACGAAATAAAACAAATCGAAAACAAAAAAACTCCTTCATGTAATCCGTAAAGATGAATTTCTAAAGGCGAGTCCAAGAGGAGATTGCCAGTCAGGATATTTGCGACACTGACTCAGAATAAGTTTATTAATAAATAATTAAGATATGTCCTTACTCTTTCCTCGACACATTCATTGTTATTTGTTTTTGCCGGTGCTTGGGGCGAGTTTTAGCTTATTGTGTGCGCTTGAACGCGGATTCACAGTAGCAGTTTTAACATGGAGTGACACGACATCTGACGTACAGATGACACTGGCACATTCCGGTGGCACGTCCGGTTTTCCACTGTCATGTGTCACTCGTTAGTGGCATGTGTAGTGACCTGTGTCACTCAGAGTGTCGCGCTGCATGTCACTGCAGTGACATCGACACCCGGCGAAGCTTATGACATCAATAAACACGAGCAAAACCATATTTAATCATTACGCGACTTTTAACCTAATTTATCGCGTCGCAAGTTAGTTTATTTGCTGAGCTACTCCACGATGTTTTAATTTAAAAGCATTTATTTTATGTATTCGTAGTCATACTTCCGTACGTAATATAGTCATTTGACAGTACATGTCAGTCAAATTTATTGTGGCATGCTTATGTATGGGAGGGGTTACACTTATCTGTTGTACTGTATATTATTGCATCCTGGCAGTTCCTTTGTTCCCTACAATATGGACTTCTTTATGTTTTTAATTCATTCATTTATTTTATTATTTAACTTATTTTCATTTTAAGGTATTTTAAATAATATCCTTTAAAAAGTTATAATAAAATGCATGTTGAAAACTCATAACATATATGCATGTAAGATAACAGGTGTCATTTGCCTAATGATTTTTAAATATTAAAGCAAAGAGACTTATAAGTTTAATGTGCTTATAACGTGCTTATACTGACACCTACTGGCACATGTCACAAGATCACTGACACTGACATGTGTCACTGACATTACTGGCATGTGTCTAAAAAGAGCCACTTGACAATAATGATGATCAGGGTTACACATAGGCTGTTAATATATTTGGGCCCAGGGGCCCACAAGTTATGTGTTAAAAGTGCGTTGCATACTCACCCCTACTCACCTCAGGGGCAAGGAAAAAAAGTTCAGGCTCAGGAATTTTTTCCACTATCAGCCCTGTAGACGCTGAAATGGCAATAAAATTAAAACTCTCTCTCACCCAAAAACGAATAATTTACTCACCATTAACTTGTTTCAAAACCTCTTCACTATTTTGTTGTTTAACGCAAAAGACATTTTAAAGAAAGCTAAACACCTCAAGTATTTATTTCTTCCAAGAATATCAATGGTTGTTGGGTTTCAGATTTCTTCAAAATACCTTTATTTGTATTTAATTTTGGGTGAACTATAGCTTAAACTGTTATTGAACATTTTTCATAGTTCAAAAAGTCTGTGTGTTTATTACTGATATTAAGATTAAGAATCAGATATGAAATGCGGTTATAAAAAGACATTGAATTATTAAAAGCTTCACTGCTATTATCACTTCCAAGAGTCGATAAAGGGTTCTTCCAGAGGTTACTTTTATGATTTAAACACTCATATTCCCAAATGTATTCAGATACCCACTCTCGAGTTTTCTCACTCTGATTTTTTTTTTTTAACATTACAAGATGTGTGGCAATAATTGCAGTTCTCTCTTTGCAGTTCTGATTGTAACACAATGTGTGGTTTTGTGGCTGTCGGAGCAGAAATAAAAGCTGCTGTTTTACAGTTTCCATGTATTAATGGATCATGTTGATTAAATATAGGTCAAAGAATCGGTATGCAATGTATGTAGTTGAGAGAAAAGATTTGCAAAATATGGAATCCCTTTTTAGGATTTCTGTATGAAGCTGATACAAATCTTCTGTTTAACCAGTTTCTTGTATCACCTGTTATTGATATATTATTGTTTTGATACCTTTATATTGAATGTGCATGTATGTATTTATTTATATACTTGAAATTAGGGCTGCTCAATATATAGTTTCTGCATCAATATCGATAAGTCACATTAATTAATAAAAACCGTATTAGTATGCATGTAGAGGAGTGGATTATTATTATTATCATTATGATTATTATTATTATAGTAACAAAGAAGTAATGCCATCTGTGTTAATACATTAATCTTACCCTCAGAAACTGGAGCAGCTGAACCAGTTTCCTGATTTTAACAACTATCTCATCTTCGTCCTGACGAGGCTGAAAACTGAAGGTGAGTGCCTGGGTTTATTTTTACATCAAGCATGCTGTATTGCAGTTGCTAATCATTTTTACACAAGTGGGATGTGCCATCAGGCTTTCAGACAGTCTGTTTGATTCTGAATGTTTTTTACCTCTACAGATGAGCCCACACGATCTCTCAGCGGTTTGATACTGAAGAACAATGTGAAGGTTCACTATCAGAACTTCCCTCCAGCAGTTGCACACTTCATCAAGCAGGAGTGCCTGAACAACATCGGGGACCCTTCGCCTCTCATCCGCGCCACTATCGGTGAAGCTCTAAATTAAACTAAACTTCTACATGATCTAAATAAAATGCACTTTAAATGATTTCAAATACTTCAAAAACTATTCAAGGATACCTGAAAATAAGCCAAATTCCATAAAACCCTGTGAATAACATATTTGGATGAACAAAGACTTTTTAAAAGGCATGCATTTCTTTCACTATATTGATTGTTACAAAGTAAAGGTTCTTTAAAATGTAATGTCTTTACAATTTTTTTTAAATAATTTTAATTGCGCATAAAAATGAATGACATTAAAGGTGTAAGTACAAATCATAAAGTGCAAGAAGTGGCAGAAACCTAAAAGGCTGTTTTAAAGATGCAGTAGGTGATCTGCCAAAATGCTAACTGGTTGGCATATGAACTTTGGACGGCAGGGGAGGGACTGTGAAAGTTTGGGCTACTTAACGCAATTATGGGAGATGTCGGCCTGACAATATTTAACTGGATTAACAGTTTGTTTTGTTTTATGCCTTACCCAGAATATAAGAAAATACACAAACACATTTACATCTAAATAGATTTAGATTTATACGGGGGGCTAATAATTCTGACAACTTTGTGTCTGTATACAAGTTGAGAAGAACTGTTACTAAAAACCCAGTCTGCTGTCTTGCGCCATCTGTTAAACTTTTGGTAAAGAAACAATTGATTGTGACAGAATAGTAATAATTATTATGCCTATTATTAAATTGTAGTTTTTTCATAGTAATTTTAACTACCACTTCAATATGTGCAATGGGCTTTGATACTCTAGGGAAGAATGTCTGAGTGCCTCCATTACATCAGGTTTCTATTTTTTTTGTTGTTGTGCTTGAATGTTAAAGCGCCCCTTCTATAAATTGTCAGTCACTGATATGGCCCCTGACAATTTGAGTTTGAGACCCCTGATTTAAATGTATTATTTTTTCATGTAATACCAGTCAATATTGCAACAGAAACCAACATTTTAAACATACTTTTGGAATGCCCTATTTTTAATGTTATCAGACAATATTTTTTTATCTGGAAAGAATTTAAAGAAAGTATTTAAATGTGAATCTTCAAAACTGGGAAAATTTTTATTAATGTTTATTTATATCTTTTTATTGTTTTTGTTTATATGATTATAGAATAGTGATATTTAGAAAATGTTGTAAATTTACTTTGGTTTTACCATGGAATAGCTAGAGGAGCTGATATGGCTACACATTCAAAACTAACTCTCCATGTAATGTCTAAAATAGCCTGTGGGACATTTTAAAGATTTTTTTGTGGTTTATTTAAGGACTTGTATGATGTTTTGAGTGTATACATCAGTTAACAACATGAAAAGTTACTAATTTGTTACAGAGCAGCATTATTATGCTGGGAACTACAGTAGTCAACATTTGAAATTAATCAAATAATTAACACCCATTTTTGTGGACCATTTTGAAAAATCTTTTTTGATCCACATCAAATGTTGACTAATATACATTGTGAAAAATAACATGTATTATATAGTCTCAAAGTTAAAATCCAGTTGTTGGAAGGAAATCTGATGTTCTCTGTCTCTATTTTCAGGAATCCTCATCACAACTATTTCCACCAAAGGGGAGCTGCAGACATGGCCAGAGTTACTGCCTCAGCTGTGCAACATGCTCGACTCAGAGGACTACAACATCTGCGAGGTTTGTGCTGTTGTCTTGCATACTTTTTTGAACACATTTGCATAAGAAAATGTTGAAGATGTACATAAAAGGGCTGCATGAAAAATCTGACATTGCAATATTTTGTTTTGCTGCGATATAAATATATATACACTTGGTGATTTGAGTAGCTCTATTTGGTAAGCGCTTCGGGCGAACCGTATGCCAATGCAAAAACCGGCGCGTTTAAGGTCCGTTTTCTTTAAAAATCAGCGATCTCCATTAGCTGAGTGATATCTGATATAAAGTGGGTCTCAGATTGTACAAGAAGCATTGTATTAAATAACATTTCCCCTGCCATGTCTTTATAATATGAGCATTTATTTTACCCCAGTATAGTCAATGGAGCTTCTGCGCTAGCCTGCCAATTCTGACGGGCACATGCGAGTAAACGGCTTTTTGTCTCGTTTTACGCTTGAGCAACTAAATGAATGCCAAAGTTTATTTAACTGAATGTATTTAAATTATATTACAATATCGATGCTGTAAAAGGAACCGTATTAAATGGAAAAAAGTTCACAATAACAGGTCACCGGAAGTTTATCAGTATGGCAAAAACACTAGCTCGGCATATACCCTAGTATTGATGCTTAATCTATATATTGTTCAGCCCTAGTATGTAATGTTCACAGATTCAGATGTCTGATTTGAGTCACAAGCTCTTGATTCAGTTGGGTTATTGATTCGATTCTCAGTGCTTAATTCAGATAGTTGAATTTAGGTTTAATACAAGTCCAATTGATATATCATCAGCTTAATTTCAGGATTATGGGTGCATTAAAACAGAACCGACCTCCCTTTCAGTTGCATGGTAATATTAAACATAGCAGTTTTTTTCAGTGTTTGTATATATAAAAACATTTATTCGTTTAATATCAACACTAGAGTGTTATTAGGCTATAGTTTATTTAAGATGTTTGACATAGATCAAGTCTTATCTTTAGTGAGAATTTATTTATTTTTTTTGCAATAAGCCACAAAAGTGAAACGAGTTGAGCTCTCAGGCACTAATTTGTCTTTCTCTGCGTGATGCTTTAAAATGTTTTTACTTCAAACTCACTTCATAACTGCAGTCAAGTGTTTATTAGTCATCCTGAATTAATGAAAACAGTTAACTTTTGTTTATAATGCAACAATACGTAAATTTTGGGAGTTGTTTACAGGTGTTTGATTACAGCTTTGCTCAATAGCGTTTGCTAATTGCACATCCTTTAAATTATCAAGTGTGTCCTGTTCAATTTCATTCAACATGTTTTTTTCCTTTAACTATATAAGCAGAATTGTGCTGTATGACCGTTGCAAAACAGCTATTTAGGAAATACTGTCCATTTGACATTTCTATATATTGTCACCTCTGCCACACTTCAGATGTGCTGTTGCATCTCACACCCTAAAATACAGAAATATAGTGAGATTTAAATTTTTTTTTTCTTTGTTAATATCCAGGGCTCATTTGGAGCTCTTCAGAAGATTTGCGAGGACTCTTCTGAGCTACTGGACAGTGATGCTCTGAACCGACCTCTAAACATCATGATCCCCAAGTTCCTGCAGTTCTTCAAACACTGCAGCCCCAAGATCAGGTTTGTTTAGAGGATTCTTCATCTCTCTTGGAACAAAACGCTTTATACAATGAGGATCTAATGGTTGTTCTTGTGGTTTTGTAGGTCTCATGCTGTTGCCTGTGTGAACCAGTTCATCATTAGTAGAGCACAAGCCCTCATGGACAACATTGACACTTTTATTGAGGTACTGATCCATGTGCAATGGATTTAATAATATCCATTCTTAAAGTTTTACTAAAGCAACCCCCGCTTAATGTAATGAAGTGCAAATGTCACAATAATTGTTAATTGATTTTATCAGAAAAATCTTTGTTATTAAGTCATTATTGTATTTTATATACCTATAAAAATTTTATATTGTCAACTTATCATTAATTGATCAAATAAAGTATTTTGGATGTTACCATGCTATTACTGCTTTATTTATAAATTAAACAACTGTAAAATTCTTTGAAATTTCAAATTATAGATGAGCAAAAGTGAGCAATGTTTTTTTTCTACTGAGGAGAATCTTTATTTGTGCATCATTCTGTGAAATTCATAAATTATACAATCTGATAATTACCATCTACTTAAACAAATGGAATTTATTTTAGTTACTTTTAGATGAAATGTATAGTTTTTTTTTATTGCTCAAGAGAAGCAACTGCCCATGTAACATCTAAATAAGCATGTTAACAAACATTAATTAAGCTTTTAATTTGACTAAATTCTCAGCAGAAACAGCAAAAAATGTAAAGGAATTATGAAGTAACTTTTGTGTATTGATTTAAAAAAACAAACAAAACAAAAAACAAACAAACAAACCACAACTTCATGTAAAACGTCAAGAAAAGTCTATTAATTGGATATCCCTAATGATTGTGTGCAGTGTTTTAATTTAATTTCTGTGTGTGCATGTGTTTGCAGAGTCTGTTTGCGCTTTCATCAGATGAGGACTCGGAGGTGCGGAAGAACGTGTGCCGGGCTCTGGTCATGCTGCTGGAGGTGCGAGTAGATCGACTCCTTCCTCACATGCGCAGCATCGTTGAGGTAAGAAGCAAACTTACTGTCTAGATGTTTCCCTTTAAAATCTGTACTTAAAAAAAAAATGATTCATTTAGTCTTATATTTTTACTCCATTAATTTTCATTTTTTACTCAATTTTTCTGAACTCTATTTTACTGGTAAACTTTCAGTAGTCAAAAGACCAATCATAGTTATCATGAAACTCAGGAAGCTTAATTTATTTTAATTTTAATGAACCCTGTGCCATATTTAGGTAGTAATATTTAGTAGTTATAACTGTGCCATATTTAGGTAGTAATAACTAAATATTTAGGTAGTCTCTTAAAGTGTAAAATTTACAAACAGTAGTCCGTTTTGTGATTTTGATGTGCAGCCTTGTAATATGTACAATATTGACTGTTTGTACAGTACATGCTGCAGCGCACACAGGATCCAGATGAGAACGTGTCTCTGGAGGCCTGTGAGTTCTGGCTTACACTGGCTGAACAGCCCATTTGTAAAGACGTCCTGTCTGGACACCTTGCACAGTAAGTGACCAGTTTGCATATACGAGAACTGAAAGTATATGCATTTTTTTTTCTCCGATAGCCATAAAACTTTGCTCAACACTGAGTTTGTGTAAGGACTAGTATGATTTTTTTTTTAATATTTATATATATATATTTTTTAAGAATAATTATTCACCTTTTTTCAAATTTCTTTGGCTAGTCTTTTTGTGTGACTGTTTATTTGCCTGAAAATATAATACATATTATCAAAATATAATAATCCAGATTAGTTGACACTTCTGTGGATGTTTTATTATGATAGTTTCAGTAATGCATTGTTTTTATTAGTTTTAGTATTATTACAATCGATTTTCATTAGACTGTTAAAATGAAGAAAAACTTGTTGACATTTTCTTAGTTTTTTTGTTTTTGGTTTGAATCATGAAAGCTTCACTAAAATTCTTTAAACATTTAGCCATTCAGCACATTTTAAAAGGCTAGATATGAACACTGAAAGAGTGCTAACTGATTAGCACATTTTTACCCTATTGTCAGAGATGCACTTATTATCAGTCTTTAGAGTATAAAATGAATATCACATCCATCTGCAATATTCTGAAGTTTAGTATGACCTCATCTTCTCTCCTAGACTGGTTCCTGTTCTGGTCAACGGCATGAAGTACTCTGAGATTGACATCATTTTGCTAAAGGTTAGTTGTTGGAGATAATAGTAACTCCTAGAAGCAGTTTGGCCTCAGGTGTGATGATAAAATTTCTCTTGACGTTCTCCGTGATTTTCAAGTATTCATACTGTCTGACCTGAGCTCTTTAATTAAGTTGTTACAGTGTCGATTGACCCAGCCGTGTTTCATCACACTGATCTGTTACTTCCCATTAGGGTGATGTGGAGGAAGACGAGGCCGTGCCTGACAATGAGCAGGACATAAAGCCACGCTTTCACAAGTCTCGTACGGTCACTCTTCGGCACGAGGGTGATGAGGGGGAGGAAGGAGAGGACAGTGAAGATGATGACGACGATGATGATGACAGTCTGTCCGACTGGAATCTACGTGAGTGCTTTTCCATGACAAACTAACTACTTGCTGCTTGAAAAATGTTGCCCATTTTGTAATGTAGCAATTTATTGATTGAGTAGCCTAAATTGGAATCAGAATTTTTTTGTTTTTTTGTGCTTCAATTTTGTAATTTTTTTCCCAGACTTGCATACAAACTGCACTGTAGTGATTTTGTAGTACAAAGTGTTTTAATGGACAGGGTTTAGAGAAGCCAAAGATGCAAATCAGATGCTGCAAGGGATTGGCCAAGCACCCAGAGCAAAACAGAAAATATTCTGCATTAACAAATATTGACCTTTTGTTCATTTCGAACTTTCTTAAAAAGATTGTACAGATCAGACTTTTGTGGGTCGTTTAGACTATCGGTTGGAGTTTTAGCTTTTCGAAGTTTGGGGCCAAAAGTAACAGGATATTTGTACATTTCATTTGTGCAAATCTTTATCTAAAGCAAAAGTGATTATCTATGCTTCATTATAGATATAGAGTGCACTATAGTAATTAGCATTTGAAACAAGTGGATTAAAACCTTTCATTAAAGTTGTAATACTATTGAGCAAGTCCATTTTTTTCTTATTAAAAATATTTTCTGATCTGCTTAAATTGTTGTCTACTTAAAGTATGCGTTTTTTTCTTTAAAGATCATCTGTGTTATTCAGACTGTCTACGAGTTTTATGGAGCAACATTTTACAAAGCTGAAGTTAAATTGTTTTTTTTTTTACTCCTTTTAAAATATTAGTGTAATTCAGTATTGAAAAAAATATTTTAGAAGTATAAAATAAAAGAGAAAAAATCTAAATGGGTCAATTTGAATGTAAAAAAAATCTGCCATAAAATCTAAATCAGTGCATTACTACTGTAATAAAGCAAATAATCTTTGCCCAGAAAAATCAGTGTCTGTTGTGGAGATGATTACAAACTGTATCATGAATGTCAGTGATGTTCAAGTATTCATACTGCCTGATCCACAAAACAAAGTTAAAATGATTCTCAAGGTAACTGAAGATCTGATTTGATCTGAGATGTGTTTTTTGCTCTGAAGGGAAGTGTTCAGCAGCTGCTCTTGATGTCTTGGCAAACGTGTTTCGGGATGAGCTGCTTCCTCACCTGCTTCCAGTGCTGAAGGAACTGCTGTTCCACCCTGACTGGGTGGTGAAAGAGTCAGGCATCCTGGTGCTGGGAGCCATTGCTGAAGGTATTTGAGACCATGGATAAGATGAGACCGCTGATAAGACTATAGGTTTGGAGAGAAGTGCACAGAAATGACTCTTTGAAATATCATTAGCTTTTAGTACAGCAGTTATGGGGAAAGATAATCGAGAATGCATCTTTAAGTCACCATTTAAAACTATTGTTAAAAAGATCCAAAAATTTTGCTAAATGCGGTGCTTATTTAGTTGTGAAGATGATGAAATGACACCATAAAATATACATGGAAATATGGCTATATTAAACAACCCTAGTTAAACAAGGTTAAACAATTCTTCAGAATCAACCTTATATTCTTATTTGTAAGTCAAACATTTCTTGTCAGTATTGAAATGTGTTGTGATTTATAATATTGGATTCTACAATGGATATTTAAATAAAATGCTTCAATTAAAAGTATAAAATATCTATTTGATATATTAAATGTTATAATATTTAATGTGAAAAATTAAATGTATTCACTTAGGATGCAAGTCCATTTAAATAGTCATTAAAAAAGTGTATCTGAAATGGTTGCTCCTTTTATCTTCAGGCTGTATGCAGGATATGGTTTTGTACTTGCCGGAGCTGATTCCTCACCTGGTCCAGTGTCTCTGTGATAAGAAGGCACTGGTTCGTTCCATCGCCTGCTGGACTCTGAGCCGCTACGCACACTGGGTGGTCAGTCAGCCGGCAGACTCCTACCTCAAGCCCCTCATGACTGAGCTGCTCAAACGCATCCTGGACAGCAACAAGAAGGTTCAAGAGGCTGCCTGCAGGTGTGTTTGACCTGTTCATTGATATTGATGACTGATTTAACCATGTCTGAATTCTAAAACCATAAACTATCCTTAAAAGGTTTCATTTTATATCAGTCGTCACCAAACTTGTTCCTGGAGGGCCGGTGTCCTGCAGATTTGAACTCAAACCCTAATCAAACACACCTGAACAAGCTAATCAAGGTCTTACTTGGTATACTTGAAACATCCAGGCAGGTGTGTTGAAGCAAGTTGGAGCTAAACCCTGCAGGGACACCGGCCCTCCAGGACCAGGATTGGTGACCCCTGTTTTATATTATAATCTGTTGGAAGGAGTGGTGGGACATCAACATCGACTTAAACATCTAAAATGGGTCCAAAATAATCTGATTTTGATCTAAAACTGATTAAGCTGATGCATTTGTGATAAAATCAATTAGTGATGTTAACTTAATTGATTATTAATTGTAAAATACAGTAAAAATGTATTTTAATTGCATACATTTCAAAATAATTCAAATTAAACAGATACATTTAGGTAAGTATCAATTTAATAAAACTTTAGAAATGACTAAATTAAAAATAAATGCCTTAAACCAACAATGAACATTGGCACATGTTTTTTTCCATGTTATTTCCTGACTAACTATTAAATAAAACTGTATTTTATTATTGGTCTTTTTTATGACCTTCAAATAGAACAAAGTTTTTTTTTTTAAATAAAGTCATCAATGTTGTTTAAATGAAAGTAAATGTGTTAATTGACTTACAATTCATGGCGTTAAACTTGTGAAATAGATAATTTAAATATTAATTTGTCAATTATTAACTGAAACCAAAAGTAGTTTCTGTATTTAGAAGTATAGAAAATAATACAGATTCATTGGTTAGTCTCTTAACCCTGTAATTTAAAATGTGCATAAACACCATAAACTTTTTAAACCGACAAACCTCCCCTGTTTTAGATGTTTCTAAAGAAATCCTAACACATTAGACCAATACTGATCATTTTTTCTTTTTTCATCAGTGCATTTGCGACTCTGGAGGAAGAGGCCTGTACTGAGCTGGTTCCATACCTGAGCTACATTCTGGACACACTGGTGTTTGCGTTCAGCAAATATCAGCACAAAAACCTGCTCATCCTATATGATGCTATTGGCACCCTCGCAGACTCTGTCGGACACCATCTGAACCAGCCAGTATGATCACTGCACTTTTATCATATGTTAATGGGCAGTTTACAATTCTGAAAAACACTTATTGTGATTCTTGTTTAACAGGAATACATCCAAAAGCTCATGCCGCCTCTCATTCAGAAATGGAATGAGCTGAAAGATGAAGACAAGGATCTGTTCCCTTTGTTGGAGGTAAAATAGTTGTGTTGGTCTTTAGTAATCTTTAAAGGCACATTATGTAAGTTTTACATTAAAATATCCAAAAATCACCAAAACAATATTATATATTTTGCTGACATGCACTTGTATAATCTCAGTGTTTTGAAGAATTCTCAACTCTTAAGAAATAAGCTACCTTAACTAGTGACATCCTAATGATGTCACAACTTTAACTTCTGTGTTGGGTTTATAGAAAACAGAGAAACACTATAGCTCAGTGGTCTCAAACTCAATTCCTGGAGGGCTGCAGCTCTGCATTGTTTCTCCAACCACCTCCAACTCACACCTGCTTAATAGTCTCTGGTAGTCTTGAACACCTTGATTATTTGGATCAGCTGTGTTTGATTAGAGTTGGACCAAAAGTGTGCAGAGCTGCAGCTCTCCAGGAATTGAGTTTGAGACCAATGCTGTAGATACTTTTAATATGTTGCATGTTTTATTAGACTGCACAGAGCAGCATTATGACTTAACCCTAAAATGTGTTTAGTCTGATAAACCAATGCAGCTTATCCACATGATTACTCTTTCATCCGTAATTGCTTCAACGCTCTCCTTTCGCTTCGACAGCTTTCAGCTTTAGGGGCCGTTCACAAATCATATCAAAAATTGTGTGGAAAAGATGAGGCATTATGTTTTCTTAACCAATTTTAATGGAATTCTGAGCTTGTGTTCCAGTGTTCTCTGTCGCAAAGAAGCAACCATTGGCCATGCTCTTTAAGGGTCCAACACTGACAAATCCTTGCTGCAGCTCTGATACAAGTTTTATTTATAGAGCAAATTAAAAAGCACTGCAGTAATTGTATGCTCTGCAGTTGTCTGAGATTATTAGTCAACCGTTATTACAGAAATGTGTCACACAAAGTGGAAAGCTGATTAGTTGGTTCTTATCATGGTTCGTGGTGCACTTGTGGCAATCTGAAAAGTTGAGATGTTTAACTCGTTGTGCTGTAGGTTCTTCTATAAAATGGAAGTGCAATCGTGTGCATGCCGCTACCTATTTTTGCACACATGCTGCATGTCTCCATTGGAAATTATGAACTTGCCAGCACAAAAAAACACTGTGAATAGCCCCTCATTCTGCTTCATACTATAATAACTTTTGATTTCTTTAGCACATGCATGTTGAATGAGTCTCATAGAATGCAGTAGAACACAATTTCACACTCAGTCACTTAGTAGCAATACTGTCAAACAACACTTTTGTTTGTTGTGAATACACACCCTCTAGTGGTGAGAATTACATACTGTGCCTTTAAAGTGCCTGCTGCCATAGACTTTGCATTTTTTGAAATACCATTGGCCACTATTTCAGCTAAACCATCTTTAATGTTCTATTGAAGGAAGTAATGCATGTTATGTTCAATAATGTAATTGAACATTATTAATAATTTCAGTAGCACTTTATATTGATGGTGCATTTGAGTATTAGTAGACTGCCGCTTAATATCTGTTGCTATGCTCCTTCAACACATTTAACTGACTAAAAGAAACTTAGCAAGTACATGTCAACTTGCACTAACCCTAACCCAACAGTCTACTTATAATCTAATTAGAATTTGTTGGCATGTAGATGGAATGTAGCTTAATTCAACAACGGAACATCAAAGTGTGTCTGTAATTTCTTTTTTGTATGAACTATCACTTTAAGGCTGTGAACTTGTTGTTTTAGTGCCTGTCTTCAGTGGCTACAGCTCTGCAGAGTGGCTTTCTGCCCTACTGTGAGCCGGTTTATCAGCGCTGTGTCACTCTGGTCCAGAAGAACCTCGCTCAAGCCATGGTCAGTCCACATCTGTGCTTGTTTGGGAATGAAGTGTGTTTGGCTGATTCCTCAGGTGTTGTCATGCTCTCGTTACAGATGTATAACCAGCAGCCGGAGCAGTACGAGGCCCCTGATAAAGACTTCATGATTGTGGCTCTGGATCTGCTCAGCGGCTTGGCTGAAGGACTCGGAGCAAATGTGGAGCAGCTGGTCACTCGCAGTAACATCATGACCCTGCTCTTCCAGTGCATGCAGGTATAGTTTCAGAAGCTCATTGTGTGTTTATTTCAGGAAAACTACTGCTCCTATTATTATAAATTGGAGTACTAATAAATACAAGTTTTTTTTAATTTCATTATTATCTTTATTGTTGTTTTTATTAAAAATAAATTGTAGTAATTTCTGTTTGTTTTTTTTTCTACTTCGAATTATTTTGTATGGTTAGTATTTAAGTGAGCTTTATTAATGACTAGCATTTAATTTCAAGCATTACTTTTGCATTTTTTCTTTAGTTTAAGTGTATATTAAAAATGTAACAATAAAAATAACGAACAAAATAAACGAGTATTTAATGTTTATACCAACTGGAATAAATTAAAATGTTTCATAATACTCCATTAATAATAATGCTTAAATTGCCGTAATATTTAACATGTTACTTTTAATGAAGACTTTTAAACCAACAAAAATTGTTCAATTTTAAATTAACATCAATTAAAAATTGTACTGCATTGTAGAAATATTTTACTTGCAATTTTATAGTTTATTTTAAATGTTTTTAATAAAATGTTGCAATTTCAGTCATTTGTTAAATTTTAATCATTACTTTTGCGTTCTCTTTTTAGTTTAAATGTATATTTAATTTTCTAACAATAAAAGTTACATAAAGAGGAGAATTCAATACTTATTTGGATTAATTAGTATTAATAATGATTTCATTATAATAAACCAACAAATGCTTAAGTTGCTGTAATATTTAATTTGTAAAATACTTTAAAGACTTTTAAACAAAGTAGTTTGATTTTTAATAGTTCAACTAAATCCTACTATATTTTAAAAACTTACTTGCAATTTTATAATTTATTTTAAATGTTTGTTTTTATTAATAAAATGGAGTTTCTGTGATTTGTTAAGCATGTTTTTGTTTGTTTGAATGTATATTTAAAACTTTCACAATAAAAATTGCATGAGGAGTATTTATTATGACTTATTGGAATTAATTGTAATAAGTTTCATAATAGTCAATAATACAGCTTAAATTGATGTAAGGTTTAACCTGTTAAATACTTAAAGACTTTTAAACAAAGTTATTTTTTAATTAACAAATTAAAAATTCTACTGTATTAGAAATATTTCACTTGCAATTTTAGAATTTATTTTAAATGTTTTTATTAATGATAAAATGTTGGAACTTGTTTAATTTTAATCATTACTTTTGCTTTCTCAGTTTAAAACTAGATTTAAACATTTTACAGCAATAATTACATAAAGCGGTATTTAATAATGCTTGTAAATAATTAGTATTAATAACAGTAACAAATCAATAATAATGCTTAAATTGCTGTAATATTTAACATGTTAAATACTTTAATAAAAAGAATTTTAAACACAAAAATAGTTCATTTTTGAATTAACATAAAATAGAAACTCCTGTATTTTAGAAATATTTTTACTTAAATTTTTTATAATTTATTTTAAATGTTTAAATCTTTATTAATGTATTGTTGTTGATTTACTTTGATTTGTTATTTGTAACCAAGTGTTTTTATTAAAGTAATTTGTTTTAATCATTGCTTTTCGTTATTTCTTAGTTTAAATGTATGTTAAATTGAACAACAATAAAAATGACTGAAAAAGAGTATTAAATATTCATGTTAATTGGAGTTAATTATAATTTATAATAGTAAATCAATAATAATGCTTAAATATTGCTATAATATTTAATCTGTTAAATACTTAAAAAAATTAACAATCAAAAATTCTAATTCTCAAATGCATTTATTGATCTGTTAAAAGGGGAACATATGTGTCATTTAATTGTGTTAAAAAAAAAAGCCTAAATATTGTGTTCTGGTGTTATTAAAGGACACAATGCCGGAGGTGCGTCAGAGTTCATTTGCTCTGCTGGGAGACCTGACTAAAGCCTGTTTCCTTCATGTCAAGCCCTGCGTTGGTGAGTTCAGTGTTTTATTTGTCATACTGGGTGACGCCTGACAGATGGAGAGCCACGTTTCTCATTCTAGCTGTTGCTTGTTTGTGTGTGTCGTGCTGGTCAGTTTGTCATTGGTGTCCGTTTGTCTTCTCCAGCTGAGTTCATGCCTGTGCTGGGCCTCAATCTCAACCCTGAGTTCATTTCCGTGTGCAACAATGCCACGTGGGCCATCGGGGAAATCACCATGCAGATGGGTGAGCGTTTACTCACACTTACTCCTGCTCTCACATATTAACTGTGGCACTTGGGTTGACTGATTTGAAAAGATGAATGCAGGAATGTCATTTTTGGTGTATTTTCTATTTATTCTTGTGTATTTTACATGTCATTTAGTGTTTTAATGCATGTACAATTTGTTTTAGTATATTGGTTTATTTATTTGTTTTACCATTATTGTAGTAGTTGGCAGTTGTTATTTATTTATTTTTATAACTTTTTTTTGTTAAATATTTTAAGTTGGTTTTGTGATTCACTAATGGTTATTGTTTTAGTATTGGTTTTATTTCCCCCTCTTTTTACATATTGTCTTGTATTTTTGCATTTTAGTTTGATTCATTTTTAATATGCATGCTTTCTATTGTTGTTGTTGTTGTTATTATTATTATTATTGCTAATGTTGTTTTTTATCAATAATACATATTAATTATTTAATTTATGTATTTATTATCATTTGAACCTTTTGTTTTACTATTTGTATAAAGATTAATTTGGTTAGTTATTATATTCAGTATAGTATTGGGATGATTTTGTTTGAGTAATGTTTGTTTTAGTATTTGTTTCACCCAAACCCTCCATTCTTTTTTTTTTTTTTTTTTTTTTTTTTTTAAATTTTTTTATTTAAGTTAATTTATTTATAAAGTTCATGCTATTATTATTATTATTATTATTGTTATTATTAATTTTATTATAATTATCATTATAAATGATTATTTTAGCATTTTTTTATTTCTGTTTATTTTAGTATTTTTAACCTTTTGTTTTACTATTTGCATAGAGATTAATTAATTAATTTTATCATTAATTAATCATCCTCATTAATAATTTGTCTTTAATTTATGTATTTATTTTATTATTTAAACCTTTTGTTTTAGTTTTTGAATATATTATTTTGTTGTGATGATATCCAGTATAGTATTTGGATTATTTTGTGTTTGTGTAATGGTTATTTGAAAATGTATTCTTTTCACCACCCCCCTCTTTTTAGATGGTCTCGTATTTAAAAGAATTTAGTTTGTTGTTGTTATTACAAAGTATTTTTTGATTTGTGCATTTTAGTATTTAAACCTGTTTTACTATTTGCATAGAGATTTTCATTTTTAGTACAGTTTTTGGACGATTGCTTTAAGTGTGAATGTTTTACATTAAATTAAGTGTGATGTATATTAAATTAAACAAAATTATTTTACTATTTAAAAGTTTGGTTAAAATAAGATGTTTTTTTAGAATTATAAATGCAGGCTGTCTTTTTTTATTTGTAATTTATTTATTGGAGTGCATTTTATTAAATGCTTAAATTCTGTGTTAATTACAAATGTAGTTAATTCATTTAAAATAATTTGCATATTAAAGTTTTTTTATTTTTTATTTATTCTTCTTTTGAGGCTCTTTTTTATTTACTTATTGCTTGTCTTTATAGGGTTTTCTTTTAATTTTAATCGAGTACTATTTCCCAGGTACGGAGATGCAACCGTTTGTGGCCCTGGTTCTCAATAACCTTGTGGAGATCATCAACAGACCCAACACACCCAAAACTCTGCTGGAGAACACCGGTAATGTGATGCAGATGCACTTCATCTCTTCAGTAAAATCATACTATGATGAACACTAACACAGACATTCGAATCCTGAATCTACTGTGTGGAAATTGTTGTTCTGATTTTTCTGTTTTTGACTGTAGCTAAATGTAAATCTTAAATGATTTAGACGCATTAATGTCCTCTTTGTTTGTCAAACAGCCATTACGATTGGTCGACTGGGATACGTGTGTCCACAGGAAGTTGCCCCTATGTTGCCACAGTTCATTCGCCCTTGGTAAGATGCTATGGTTTTATAGGGATGCACAATATCCAAATGTTCAATACATTTGCCAATAATTACTTAAAGGGATAGTTTACTCAATTAAATAGCGAGTGCATTTTACTCATAAGTGGTTTTAAACCTTTGAGTTTTCTTCCTTCTGTTGAACATTTTAAAACAATAATTTGAAAACATTAAAACCTGTCATTTTTAACATCCATAGTAGGAATAACATGTACTAGAAAAGTCAATAGTTCCAGCTTTTATTCAGAATATTTTCTTTGTTAAACATAAACTCACTGTTAGGAAAAGGTGAGGGGAAAGAAATTTTAGGATTTCTATCTCTTTAATGTAAAAATCTGCATTGGTCTGCCAATAAGGGGTATGCCAATAAGATGTTGATTATGAACCTGCAGTAACGTCTACGTTCACACCAATGACTGTAAAAAATATGGACGACGCGACAGCCCTTTTTCCCATTGAACGCCTTGAGGGCAAAACGCCTGCTTGACGGGCACAAACTGACGCAAAAGACTGCTGAAATTGGAGCCTTGACATGCGCAGAAGGACTGTCTGATGGAGCCAGAGGAGGAGCCGCGATAATGAGCCGAGTCGAGCTTCCAATCAAACGCTTTATGTAAAATCAACCACGCCCCCCGAACTTCTCAGCATGTGTTTGCTGTCACATCAACACAAATGGATGTAATAACGTTAACAAATATGAGGGTTTTATATATTCAATCGCGCCAGCTCCAGGCCGCAGCGCATAACTTACTCGCGGCGTCGCGGGCTGATTCCGGCTCGCATGCGGCAGCACCGGCTCGCTCGGCCGCCGCATCTGGCTCGATTGACTCGGGCTGGAATTGGGTAGTGAGTCCAGGCATCCGGAGTAGGTCCAGCAGAGGTAACGTTAGTCAGTCTGCGCTCTAAGAGATAAGTCTCCGGCAGGCGAGAATCTAGCCGGAACTGTGTTTTGCTATCTGGGTGGCTAGGCGTGTATCAGCAAACTAATAAAGCCCGAAAAAAGCCCTGAACTTAGCGAATAAACAGTGTTCCACCAGGATCATGTATGTCAGAAACTATAGTTTACTGCTGAACTCATTTTGTCATGGTAAAATAACACAGAAATCGAATAATAACATTTCAGTCTACTTCAGTCTCCTGCCGAAGCGCAGACGCCGCGCTTTGAGAAACTGTCAATCACAGCTGTCAATCACGATGACACGCCCAGCATTAAATTACTGCTAAAAACAAACTGTTTACAAAAATGAAGATCTGCACCTATTTCAGCACAATAACCAGTGCCTTAATCGACCAGAACTATCTTTCGGGACATTTTATTGCAAGTGTAATATTTTTTTTTATTTGGGCTCAAGTCTCCTTCATTAAAGGGTCACGAAACACCAAAACACATTTTTTGAGCTGTTGACAGTCGTATATGTGTCCCACACTGCTAAAAACACTATTAGGACACCTATATTTCACTAAAAAGTGTAAATTGGATGTTTTTGCGTTATTTCAAGCAAATTCGTACTTCCTGTTTGAAACGAATTTTTGAAGCTGCGTCACGGTCATGAGATAATAGCGTGTATTCCAGCGTGCAGACTGGGCGTCTGTGCCAGAGTGAGTCTTATTACGTCTTACAGTGTGATACATTAATGCATGAGTAAGGCTTGGTTCAAACCAATCAGCGCGCTCTATTGTGGAACTTCATTAATATTCATTAGTGTCACCGTGTTTACGCCACAAAGACGCCACGTTGTGTTGGCAAAACAAGCGTGAAGTGTTGCTTTTATAGTTTGCTGCCGTTAAGTTTCGTTTTCATTTTCTCTCTGTGAGAGCTCAGTCTCACGTGTGGATTAACAGTGTACGCGACGCTCGACAACAATAACTTACGTGTCTGAGGATTATTGTTTACCTGAGAGCTGTTCTCATCTGCAAACGCTGAAATCTGGATTTGCTTGTAGTATTCTCTCCATTAAGACGCGGCTCTAGTTGCTGGTGATTGTTCTGTCTCTACAGATTTGGTAAGTGAGCGACCAGTGCTCTTTGTTTATTCAGTTTGTTCGTATCGAATTAAGTTACTATTGCACTGAGTGCAGAAATGTTAGCACCGCATTTTGTGACCGGATTAACACACGCGGCTTTCTGACGCTACCTGCCGTGTGCATCTAAGTTTCCGGGAAATGCGGAGTTTTTTCTCTCATTCGCCGTGCGGTATCAAACATTGCATGAAAAATACACGCTTGCAGCAGTTCCTTGAATCAAATATCTCGTTTGTCACGAGAGGCATGAATGAATTCCCTGAATGAAAGAGCCAAACTGCAGTTAAAGTCCAACTTTTAATAATTTGGCAAATTATTCGACTACAGATGTCCATGTAAACACAGTCACATTGTCCGCTGTGGGTGTGTATTTTGACTCTGAAACTCGCGCGTGCACAAATAGACACTCCCACACCATCCCACTTTAGTTCCTCCGACACTCCCCCCTAAACAGAGCTGGACACGCCCACTTTTCTGACTTTTTCCAAAGTAAAGGTGTGAAAACACCCTGCTGAAACGAGGGGCTTTCATGGCCCTTTAACACGGAGGAGGCGGGCTTTATGACTTGTACTGCAGCCAGCCCCCAGGGGGCGATCTTACGGCCGAGACCCTCACTCAAACGCAGGCTTGCGGCACACTTGGTTCACACTCAAAAGCTTAGTGCTCAAATCAGATTTTTTTTCTCAATCAGATTTTTTTGCATAGTTGTTCACATTGTTATAAATGTAGCCAATATCAGATTTTTCAGTTTGAACAGATCTTGTTCCTAAACTGACCCACATGCTTAAAAGTACAGGTACGGATGGCATGAAATGTCTAATTATGCACACAATGTGTGCACTGTATGAAGTAAGCGCGTTGTCAGATTATTCTTAAGGATTTTTGCCCTTTTCACAGACAACCGTGGTGTATTTCATGAACTGTAAAAGATTGTTCTGCTACTACTAATGTGTATTTTGCCATTTGAAACCAGGAATAAGTCACTTGTAATTGAAAGCATAGATCATTTGTGATTTATGACAACCGCAGTGCACGTTTGTCTGTCCACCGGTGTAGTGAGCTCAAGGGTTAATGAGCAGCCGCAGACTGCAAAGAGATAAACCAACTCTGCCTTCACAGTTCAGAGTTATTTTATTTTACTTAGTTATAAACAGGCACGTGCAGATCATGACGCATGTCGCTCAAAGATTATGTAAAAATCGCATTAGTCGGATTGCAAAACGTCAGATCTGTGTCTGATTTAATACTACAAATGAAACTCAATCCCAAAGTGATTCAGTGTTTAGAAAGTATTTGTTTGACCTGAATGCATTTACACCATAGCTCAAGACTACATTTTAAATAGATTTTGTTCTCGTTTGATAAAGGTTAGACTTGACCCTTTACAGTGTAAGCAGTTTAGTTATTTTTCTGTTTAGACCTCATTCATGTATTTGAAAAAATCAAATATGAATCTGATACATGCATTTTGCTTCTCCAAATTAAGCAGACATATGGGATATTCACATATAGGATTGTGATAATATTGTGCATCTGTAATAGTTATGCATAAGAATTTATTCACCGTCTAACAAACGTTCCTCCCCTTCTTAAATCTAGGTGCACGTCACTCAGAAACATCCGGGATAATGAAGAGAAAGACTCTGCCTTCAGGGGCATTTGTGTGATGATTGGGGTAAATCCTGGAGGAGTCGTACAGGTGAGAGCTAATAAATGGCAAACACCATAAGTTGCATTGGACAGTTGTCAACCATAACCAAAAATGCCACACTGAACTTTAATTCTACACAAATATTTTGAAATTAAGGTAAATCTAGTATTTTAATGTTATATTTACATAGTATCCTATTAAAAAAATAAAAGCGAAAATAAACATGAATGTATAATTTGTATTTTCTTTCTGTGTTCTCTAATGTACCCATTTTAATTATAATAAAGTATAAATACAGATTTTTTAGCCCACTTGTCTACTAATAAAATAGATAAATGGAGAAATTTATGTGTATGTTTTACTTGGGTTATTATTATTTAAAAAGTGTTAATAGTTAGTGTTAGTAGTTTCAGTTGGGCTTTAATGTGATTGTTTTTGCACTCAGGACTTCATCTTTTTCTGTGATGCTGTGGCCTCCTGGGTTACTCCAAAAGACGATTTGAGGGACATGTTTTACAAGGTACAAATATTTTTCTTCAGTAACTAAGCTTTTGATGAGTTTATAGTTTTGCCAGCATAGAAGCACAAGTACTTGCCATTTCAAAGGCATTTGTCAACTTTTTCTCTAGATTCTGCATGGCTTTAAGGATCAGGTCGGTGAGGAAAACTGGCAGCAGTTCTCAGAACAGTTTCCACCGCAGCTGAAGGAGAGACTTTCAGCCTGCTATGGTGTGTAGATTCACTCTTGCGACATGGAAAACCAACTATTAAGGTGAGTAACCTCAGCAATCAAGTAAAAACAGCTTATCTAATGGGGTGTGCAATGTTTATTAATGATATTGTAATAGTCTTATTTTTATTTTTATTTATTTTTTTACTTATGTTATCAAGTTTGCCTCTCACTGTAAACAACAACTAAATGTACTAAGAGTCTAAAACTTTGACTGGGTCAAAGAAGCTTATTAAAATCATGTTATAATAGGTATAATAATGCTAAATAAATAAAATTGATACAACTAGAATAACTAGAATATATAATAAAGTAAATCGGTTTATTAAAGCAAAAAAAAAAGGAATTAGTTTAATGAAAAAATCAAGGCTTTTTAAATGTTATTTTAAGATATGATACGGTAGCATAGTGCGAGTGTCTGTTTTGTTTGTTCGTTTCTAATAATATAAATAAATTAACAAACAGAGAACATGTATTTAATTTCGTACTACTAGTAAAGGCTAATTTATGCTTCTGAGCCTTCATCCGGTGGCATAGCTCTCGTCATGGCTGACGTGGACGCCACCTCTCAAGATGTAACTACACATTGCAACGACTCGTAGCACAAGCTGTGATTGGTCTGCTTGGTAGCGCTGACGAGTGTGAATGGTGCTGGGAGCTGCAAGCCTGATGGAGCGAGTGTTTGCAAGTGTCGAGTCCCATGGAGGGGCTCCAGATGGAAACTTTAGTTTTGTGTTTACTTTTATTAAAGTTGTCGCATATCCGCCGGTTCCCACCTCTTAATGAGCGAGTTTTAGCTACTTTTACATTAAGGGTGCTCAAAAAACTCAACGCCTGTGAAGAGATTAGACACAGAAGAACATAAAAACCTCACTGCCAGTCTATTTAATGCAAATAGGGAAACATTTGCCATTTATTATTATAAAAAAATAAGATATTTATATGTAAGACAAAAGATGATAGATGATCTATTATAGGATAATAATGACTAGAGGTATGAACCTACACTGGTCTCACAGTTCAGTTACGATAATCATGCCATCAATTCGGTTCAATTCGACATCTTGGTGCATCACAGTGCATTGACCATGCTTTCCATATAAGATTTTATATATTGTACTAACCCTCACCCAATACAAGAATTGAAATGTATCATTTTAAAATATATTTTATATGTATTTGTAATATGATCTTGTAATTTATTACAAGCCGTCAGATATATGAACTGTACCTTTTTAATTTTACCTGCTCAACAATCTGCAGTCAACACAAATGGACATGCACAGAACAACATGAGCATTTACAGCGAATAAAAAACATAAATATTATCCTGCTTGATTTTTAGAAGAGTTGTGCGAGTTGTTAAATGCCTATGATTCGTTACGAGCTCAACAGAAAGGGCTGCGATTGGTCTAATTAAGTTACATTAAGGAAACTTGTGCTAAATGTTCCATTTGAGCTTAAATGCATTTCTAGTAAGGTCAGAGTTTGAGCAAAATTATAAAAGTGATGGTGATTTTTATGTATTTATTTTTATTAAAATGTTTTACACTAAAGTGATGAGGTATGCTTTTAAGACCGTATTGTCAGAGCATTTGTGCATCTCAGAGCCACAATGGTGAATAAATCTGTTGTTGAGTCGATCCATTTATAAAGGTTTGTTCAATAAATGGATCTGCCTTCTTGAATAAATCACTTGAATAATTGCTACAGTCAACCACTCAAGTTGCACTTGGTGCCACTTACTGGAGTTTTTAGTGTGTCGACATTTGTCTGATAGTAATAATATATACAAAAAAAATGTTCACAAGTAAATATGTCAGCTTCACACTCTCGTAATATTAAATTATGTATTTATTTGTTTTTACCTATTTGCAGGTCAAATCTACGGGAGGGTTACTGGGGAACTCATCCATGTCTGTTTGTGGGAACTACCTGCTGTTAGTGCCGGAGTCGAGTGATGGTTTGTGATCTGGAGGCTCCCACTTCCTCCTCCTATGTGAAAGAGGATTTGAGAGAGTTAATGTGAAATCAGCCTTTTTATTGTCACAGTTTGGCTTCCGACTCGCCCAGAACAGGAATGAAACATGAAGCTCAGGGATCTGGATTGGGAGGGGGAGGGTTCATTCAGGCAACATTCACCAGCTGCTTATTGGACAAAACAACGCCATTTTTAATAGTCCAGCCTTAGCAAAAAGCCTGGCTTCTCGGCTCCATGCCAAAAGCGCACGCTTGCAAAACACAAGTGGCAAACGTGCTCATGGCACACCATAACTGAACAAAGTTGTTTTCTAGAAGAGATAGATCACCCAAAAATGACAAATTTCACTCGTCTCATTTGAAATGTGCACAATTTCTATTCTGCATAAAACAAGTGGATTAAATCTTATAATAGGACAGAGTTTTGTAGTCGCTGTGCATCATATTTCAAGTAATCAGGCCTTGCAATGGTTTGAGAAAATGGCTGCAGTTTAAGTAGTTCACTGAGAGTGTTGCTCAGTTCTATTTTTATCACACAATACAAGGTTTACTTAATCTTGCTTTTTTAAAGCGGTAGTCGCAGTCCACTTGCGATTCTGTAGAAATTTTAATTTTTGGGTGCACTTTCACTTTAAAAGTTATTAGTTTAAAAGGTAATTACATTTTTATGACCTTTAGGGTTGGCTAATGACAAAAGCATGCAATCATTATGACCTAATAAGTACATTTCTTCTGTATTTTCTGCTTGCTTGATTTTCCTTCATGGCTATGCGTTACATTTGAGCTATTTCATTCCATAAAGAGACTGCTTCATTTGATAGTCAAATAATTCTGCTGTAGCCTGTAAAAGGAACCTTAATGGAATTGTTGATTTCTATGGTGGTCATAGCAAAGTAATTTTCAGATTTAGTTGCTGTTGTCTGCGAAGATGTATTTAAGCATTATTATTATTATTATTCATTTTGTGTCGCAAATGCTGCGTAAGAATATTGATCTAAGAAACCCTGCACCAAAAATTCACTGTAGAGATTAATTTGCCTTTTGCTGCTTTTAAAAGAACTTGAATAACTCTAGATAAATATCTATAATTATCAAAAGGAAAGTTCAAGTGAAAATGATTATAAAATGCTTTTCATTTACTCACTCTCAGGCCTTCAAGATGTGCACTGTAATAAAATTAAAACAAAAACATGTTGTAACATGTCCCCCCCCATGTTTTTAATGGTTTTCAATTTATTCCACTGAATTTATTCAACTTATTTTAAAAAAGCTGAAACACAATTCTTGAGTTGTTTTGGGACAACTTAATTGTTTTGTAATCAATCCACTTAAATTTGTAAACTAATAAGCCAACGTAATTCTTTCATGTTGTCCTAACACAAATCGATTGTGTGGAACCCAGCACGATTTACAGTGTATGGGATCTTGATCTCTGTCAACCTTTGATGTTGAAATTTCAACTCTGCTTTTAAACAATGATTATTATTATTGACATCATGTATAATAATGTATAGAAAATTCAGTTCGTAACATGATTAATAATATGATAATATTATATAATAATATGAAATAATACTACACTGTTACCAGCATGTTTTTTTTTTAACCATAATGTACAACACCAGCTCAAACAATGCATCACTTACTCAAATTTCAATATCTTCTTTTTTCTACCTCAAAAGTTGCTGGAGTAAAGATAGTCAAGGTCTTAAAATGCAAATTCAAAATCATACCAAAGTTACGGGGAGATTTAAGTTACAAAATAAGCAAATTTTAATTAAAAGAGTTGAATTTAAATTTTTTTACAGAGATAGCTGTGGTCTGTGTTTCATGAAATGCAAGCTGGCTTTTGAGAGTCCAAAAATAAGGTAAAAATCCAACACCCAAGCTGTGGCTTTAGTAATTACATTGAATTCTTATGAAGCAGAACATTTGTATGCCCAGATTGTGGATTGCTTATGTTTTTCTATAGACCTTAATGTGTTCACAGCAGTCTCTTAGCGTGATGGTTTAATTATATTAGATATTGAATGTATTTTTGCCTGTGTATGTCTTCCGAGTCTTAGCCACTGACTTGCATTTTATAAATCACAGTTTCGGCTAAAATGTTTTGATTAAGGACACAATGTCGCCTACATTGGGAGGTCTGAGGGGACATAAATAGAATACATGTTTTCATTTTTGCTTGAACTGTCCATTTAAGGAACTCTAGTTGCTGGTGTTATCGACGTGCACTTTCTCTAATAAGAACTTTCAGGATCCCGCTCAATGGGTATCCTATTAAAGATATGAAGGCTGTTTTAAAGAGTAAGAATGCTTGGCTTGTATAAGGACAATCTAATTGCCACATGATTATAAATGGTATTTCTTTAATTAGCTTAGGTTTAACACTGAATATAATTTTGGTAAGGAAATCTAGACTGATAGCACGTAATGTGGTTCCTCTACACAATATACAGACTGATCAATTCTGGGAAATGCAAACAGTATAGGTAAAGTCCTGCTTAACTTAAAATAGTCCAATTTCATTGTTGTTTTTAATATGATGTTGTTCTGTCGAAGAGATTTAGGGAAAGGGTTTCCAAGTCTTTTCCCCCCTTTATTTTTAGTTGCTTTGATCATGCTTGCGCTGTTTTAAATGCCTGTTAAAGCAATATGCATGTCCGTTTCTATGAAAAGACAGTTGCATCTTAAGGTTTCTTCCCTCATCATTAAACACTAGCTCTGACAATCTCATTTTTAAAATGTAAACATTTTTGTAAGCTGCTTTACCCTTTAGGGATATTTTTTCCACCTCCCCGTTAATTTTTTTGTAATGGCCTGTATTTCGATATTTAGTCAATACATTGCAAAGATTTGGAGAACAACTGTTTAGATGAGACCTTTTGAATTCAAATGAACTCTGGTTTAAACTTAGTTAAGAGAAAAATGTAAATGCGAAGTAGATCTTAAATTGTGGTAACATCATACTTTTAAGTATTTAGAATTGGTTAACTGAAACTAACATAATGGAGAAGCCTTGATTCTAAGTGATTTGTGCACTGCATTTGCTCCTGTTACTGTAATGACAATATGCTGCCAAGCAGACCTGTGTTCCTCCAAGAACTTAGTATTTTTTTAACGTTTTTATTTACATTAATTTTTAAACTTTTATTTAAAGTTATTTTAAGTTAAATGTTTTTAAGTGTTTAATATGCTTTTGTTTTAATATTTTGTTTTGTGCGCACGCACAAAGATTTTGTTAGACTTTAAAAGTTTTTCTTTTGGTTTTCTTTTTGTTTAAAGAATTTTGATTTGGTTTTATTCAGACAGTTGGAGAAATGCATTTAGCTTATGATTTTCAGAAAGTCTGCTGAAGCATTAAGATGTCTTTTCCCTCCTCCCCCTTTCTCATTTTGGACGTTGACCTGTTTTTCAGTAATCACCTTTCTTTAAATACTTTGATTGGGGAAATAAACTATTTCTGTCAAATTAAAGCCAAGTCTGGTCTCTGATTATCATTCAAGATTATGAAAACCACAATGTGGAGTATGTAGAATGCATAGTATTGAATATTTAGCACATTTTGAATACAGTGTTTCAAATGTACAGCTTTAGTAATGTCAAGCTTGCACTATTCTCATACAATAAATTGATGTCTAGCTGACATTGGTGGTTAGGGTTGCACGGTATATAACATCACATCAGAATACAGTTGAAGTCAGAATAATTAGTTCCCCTTTGAATTTTTTTGTCCTTTATTTAAATATTTCCCCAATTATGTTCAACAGAGCAAGGAAATTTTCACAGTATCTCTGAATTTTTTTTTCTTCTGGAGAGTCTTATTTGTTATTTTAGCTACAATAAAAGCAGTTTTTATTTTTTTAAATCCATTTTAAGGTCAAATTTATTAGCTACTTTAAGCTGTTTTTTTTTCGGTCGTCTACAGAACAAACCAGTGTTATACAATAACTTGCCTAATTACCCTAACCTAATTAACCTTTAAATTTAAGCTGTATAGAAGTGCCTTGAAAAATATCGAGTAAAATGTTACTGTCATTATGACAAAAGCAAAATAAATCAGTTATTAGAAATTAGTTATTAAAGCTTGTTTAGAAATGTGTTTAAAAAAATCTCTGCGTTAAACAAGTTGGGGGAAAAAATTAACAGGGGGGCTAATAATTCTGACTTCAACTGTGTAAATATATAATAATTCGTTCATTAGTCCCTTAATTAATCTGGGGTTGCCACAGCGGAATGTACCGCCCATTTATCAAGCATATGTTTTACGCAGCAGATGCTGTTTCAGCTGCAACCCATCACTAGGAAACATCCATACACACTCATTCACACTCATACACTATGGACAATTTAGCCTACCCAATTCACCTGTATCACATGTTATTTTTGGACTGTTGGGGCAACTGGAGCACCTGGAGGAAACCTATGCGAACACGAGGAGAAAATGCAAACTCCACACAGAAAGGCCAAGTGACCCAGCCGAGGCTCGACATATATATATATATATATATATATATATATATATATATATATATATATATATATATATATATATATATATATATATATAGTTTAATTTACATTACACACACAGTTATACACGGGTGAAGTGTGTAATAAAGCCAGGTGGTTGGGTATATACATTTTCTTTTTCGGCTTAGGCTGTTTTCTAATCAGGGTTCTCTACAGCGGAATGAACCGCCAACATGTTTTACGTAGCGGATGCCCTTCCAGACGCAACCCAATACTAGAAAACACCCACATACTTTTGCATTCATACACTCTACAACTAATTTAGCGTGGGTTATATATGATGTACACATTGGGAGAATCTTAATTGCTTTATGTACATTAAAATTAGTTTTGACAAATTTGCAAGAACGAGACATAACGGATTGATTTTGTTATACATTCACATAATAACACGAAATTGAACTGCAGTTAAAATTTTAATCTAATACGCCTTGTTTTAAATAAAATCTAACAAAACATGTCCTAAAACGTTTATTTATTTATTTTATATATACATGTCCCAAAACGTGCAAGCGTCATTTTCATAAAAATATCGTCACCACGTTTAACCAATCAGCAAACACGTCCCTACGCCCTGCCTATGTATCAGGAACTAGTTTCCTGCTGACGTTCTGTGAGCTGTTTCATTTTAATGGAGATGTTTTGCCCAAACAGAAAACTTCAGCAGCTTGTCTCAAATGTCTGCAAATAACAAATGTTTGAGGTGAACACGGCGCGTCCTGCTTAATCATTACATCGCATTTGCAGACGAAGCGCATTGTTGATAATGAGGACATCACAAGAAAACAGTCCCGTGTATTCCTAACGACATAAACCAACCGCTCGCTGGACAACAGCAGATATATTTCCAACGGCGACAGGTGAGCCTTTCGTGCTAGTGTGGGTATATAAAGGTATCTATTTGCATGTGTGTTTACTTTAGTGAATGATTCGCATAAGATGTCATAAAGGAGGTTAGCTTTAAAATGTCTACACTAGTTAACTGTTTTCTTTAACAGCTGCTTGAATGTAACGTTAAATAAAACATAACGGTAACGTTAGTCATGTTACCCTGCTGGCCTTCTTTCGCTCCTTTCGTAAATTTGTGGTGTATTAAATATTAAAACCAATGTCTTTTTCTTTTCTCATGGTGGTAAACTTCCAGGTTTTATCTCTTCGAGATGGCAGGAGGCATTACAGAAACAGGGGAGCCTTACTCTCCATTTGTAAGTATTACCTCTAGTAACTTTCAGTATGTACGTTAGTTGAGTTTGTGTTGATTAACGCAAAGTACTTCAAATAAACACACTTGTCAGTTTAATTGAGGTAAAGTTGGTTTTATATTCACACATTTGTTCTTTTTAAAGGTGCCCATATCGTGTACCTGGCTACTTTGCATATTCGGGCTGAAATTGCATCTAAGTTTGACATCAAAACAACATTAGCACTACTTAATTGACTGAACAATGTTGTACTTTTATACAGGGTATCTGAAGGGTCTTATAATGTCTTAAACTTCAAAATCCAAATTTTAGACCTTAAAAAGGTCTTAAATCCACTGAAATATTGTGTTGTAGATGTCCATAAGCCCACATGGAATTTGCGTGCGCAGAATTCCACAGATTTTTAGTCAATCATTGATTCTGTTTATTTACTTGTGTAAATGCGTATAAATTTATTATGTTTTTAAAGTATTTTACAGTAATATTATTGACTAATATGCAAATAGTTATATGATTTTTTTACAATATAGTTTGTAAATAATATTTTCTGTCTTTTAGTAGATATATTAAATGAGAGGCTTGCTCTGTTTACTAAATAAAGTGGATCTAACAGGATTTGTATTGTAAACATTAAATAAAAGTTAAAAAGGTATAATTTTTTTATTTAATATGTTAAGGTTTTAGTTCTGATACTCCCAAAATTATTCTGCATAAATCCACAGATTTTGAACAAAATACTGTGCAGAAATAGCAAAAAATGTCTGCAGATTCCATCTGGCCAGTAACACAATCAGGCCAACACCCATTCAATCATTAACAATATATTTCAATAAAAGTTTTAAGAAACGTTTATTTATTAACTTTTTATGTATTAATATGGTTTGATTTTTCCCTAAAATAACCTTTTTCTAAAGGATTTTTTTAAGGTTTTAACTTGACCATTAAAAATCTTTAAAATTAATATTAAAAAGCGTTTAGCCTTGTGTAAGTCTGAAATTTCATTCATTGTTATCTTAAAATGGTCTTAAGAGGGTGTTAAAAAGTCTTACATTTTTCTTGATGAAACCTGTAGAAACCCTATTTATAGTCATTTATGCTAATACAATTTCAGTAATCAGAATTTGCAAAGAATACATTTCTGAAATTATATTATTAGGGAGAAAGTCTGAATGTGCAAATATAAAACTAACTTTACCTCAGTGTCTGTTTAACTGTTCTGTACACTCAGCTGTTTATGTCTTGTGACTGTATAGAATATTGTCATGCCAGGTTGTCATGTCATTCATGTGACTTGAAAATCTTCCTGCATTTATTAAAGGAGCAGTTCACCCAAAAATTGATAATTTACTCGCCCTCAAGTGATTCCAAAACTTTTTATTTTGCAGAAAGGTAAAAATTTATGGATGTCAATGGTTACAGGTTTTCAGCTTTCTTAAAAAATTTATTTATTTTTGTTCACCAGAAGAAAGAAACTCATCAAAACAAGTAAAGAGTAATTTTTGGGTGAACCATACCTTTAAACTGCTTAATATTTAAAGACATGTAGTTTGTTTAAGAGCAATGGAAGACACTGTCGATAATTTGGCTCTCTTATCACTGCTTTTAGACGGTGATAATCAAATAATGTATGCTGACGGTTGTCAGAAGGTGCCTTTATGTCAGAGACATGTGATTCGAACCGCTCACTTCATGTTACTCATTTAAAAAGGAAATGAAAGTTCAGGGAACAGGAGATATGTGCTTCGGTGGCTTAAATTAGCAGAAAGTTAGCTCCAGGATCTAGACTTGTGTTTATTTGGTGTCTAGCTTTGTGGTTTGTTTATTATATTATAGTTTACTGGAAGTCTCATGAGAAGATGGCTATATGATTTTGCAAAATAATAAACGCAATTGTATGGTTCCAGAAGTAAAAACAACATTGTGTTTCATTATAGAGAAGTTGATTTTTGTTTTTAACAGTAACTGATTAACTTTTAAAAACAGACCTATTGCTCAGATGTTAATTACTTCGGATTTATTGTGCTCCTTTTTCCCCCAACAGGTAATAGTAGAAGCTGAAAAATGTTTAAATTCCACCCATCAAAGAGTAGCAGAATAAATATTTAGCCCCACCCACTCTTATGAAGCACTGGAAAATACTTAATAGAAAAAGAATATATTTTCATAACATTTTAATTATAATATTTCTATAGATTAGGGCTGCTTGATATTGGAAAATCAAGCATTGTGATATTTTTTATTATGCAGTGTATATTGCAATAAGAATACAATTTCACTAGAATACTTAATATATTTGGAAAGAATTTATAATGTTAGATCAATTGGAATGATTCTGCAGTCGGAGTGCATCTCCATATAATCTAATAAATAATTTATAAACTTTTTGGGGTCCCCAACACATTTTCACTGTGGTCTGTGCTATTTGCAGTGCATTTCTGTATTTGCATGTGTTGAGAGTATTTTCATGCATAACAATCTATTAATACAATAAAAAAAATTTATAATTGGAATAAAATGTTTTATCATTTTCCGAGTCGAACAGCATTGAAGTGCAGTAATTGAATGATAAAAATAATTAAAGGTGCTGTATGCAAGTTTTTGACTAATCTAAAGCATAAAGATACCATAATATGTTTGCAGATATTTATGAAATATGCCAAGTGAACATTCTTGTTTATCTGAAAAACAATGATGAAGTCAGATATTCTGCTTTTGAAAATGTGTTTTCCATGCAAGAACGCTCTTTATTTGTTCTTTTAACCTGTCCAATGCCAGTTTAGCCAATTATATTTTAGCACTCCGGGTTGCCTTGGTGGAAAACCGTGTAATTCATTCATTCATTCATTCATTCATTCATTCATTCATTCATACATTTAGAAAGGCTCTTAAAGCATGAGTCCATGAACGAAATGCGACCTCTGGTGGACAGTATCATAAAAAATTCCGAAATGAGAAAAATTCGGTTCCACATGAGGTTATTAATTAGCAAATAATATAACTGTTACGAACCTAAACATTAGGTGAGCAGGTTACACTGTAACCCCGTGTCCTAACAACACGCTTCATGACGAGATACGCAGTGATAAACAATTTGCCTCTTTGCACCATATGAAACCCGACAGAAATTAAAACAAAGCCATTCAGAAGCGCAGAATATGCACTCACTCAAAATGGTAAGGTCTATAATCTATTTAATACATATTAACCCTCTTTAACATTATTAAATGTAGATACTGAATCACGTGTTTAGTTTTAATGTTTAATCTGCTGTTGCTTTTAGTAAATGGCAATAACTGTTGTGTAAAATGGAATTCAAACTCACATTGTTAGTATTTCACACTAAATAAAGCACATGAGGTTTACCTGAGATGATCATTGGCATAATTTTCTGTTGTTCAGCTGTGAGAAATAGAAGCCGTTTCTAATATATCAATTTGAGGTGTTGGTTAGAACAAACTCCTTTTATAATGAAAAAAAGTATTCCTTCTATCGGGTGCCGATGCTTTTTTTTTAGAAAACTGTTTAAATCACTCGCTCCTGTCCTCAGTCTGGCAACCTTCGCTTGTGTTTTAGATCCAGGAGTGCAATACCTAGTTTAACCCCTGGGTGTCAAACTTGCATACTGCACCTTTAAATAAAATGATTTGTTGCTAAAGTCACAAATGTTACAATTTCTTATCCTGAATGTTTTTAAAGTCATCATACAATCACAGGCATCAAAAACATGCAAATGATGAATTACAATACATGTCCTGCAATATGACTATTGCGAATTATCATATTGCGATGTCGATACTGAAACAATATATTGTGCAGCCTCAAAATAGATGCAGCTAATATCTTTAAACCAGTTGTTTTATACACAGTGATTCAAAAAGAATACCACAACTTTGAAAATCTGTATTTAACCAATCAACCAATCAACATGATAGAACCATTTTAAATCAAATATGCACTGCAAACTAAAATTTTGTTCCACAAAATTCATTCATGTTGTCCCAACACAAATCTATTTAGTTAACAATTTAAATAGGCGACGTGGTGGCACAATAGGTAGTGCTGTCGCCTCACAGCAAGATGGTCGCTGGTTCGAGCCTTGGCTGGGTCAGTTGGCATTTCTGTGTGGAGTTTGCATGTTCTCCCCGCGTCCGTGTGGGTTTTCTCCGGGTGCTCAGGTTTCCCCCACAAGTCCAAAGACATGCGGTACAGGTAAATAGGGTAGGCTAAATTGTCTAGTGTATGTATGTGAATGAGAGTGTATGGGTGTTTCCCAGAGATGGGTTGCAGCTGAAAGGGCAACCGCTGCATAAAAGAAACGCTGGATAAGTTGGCGTTTCATTCCGCCGTGGCGACCCCAATTTAATAAAGAGACTAAGCCGAAAGAAAATTAATAAATGAACAATTTAAATAGGTTGAGCATAAAATTGTTGAATCGTTGAATTGATTGAACAAAAAAGAGTTCTCTATAATCGTGTTGTTTCAGCTCCTTTTTAATAAGTCATTCGAACAAGCAGAAGCAATTATTTTTTTAGTGTTTTCTACGCATGCTTTTAAAAAGAAATGACTCGTATGACTTATGCCAGAATGAATCAACACATTTACAGTAAAGTACATAGCATCATATTTTAAATGTCTATTACCAGCTATGTTTTGCTCTCAGTAGTAAATGGAAAGCATTTGTAAGCTAATCAATAAAGCAAATGCTTATCCCTCTCTAATGGACTTAACAGTAGACACTACTATATAAGAACCTCAACACTAATTTTCAGTAGGCTTGATCGATTGATATGTGAGTTTTGCACTTAGGTGGGAGGAAATGCAATGCCATTCAGATGAGTAATCACATACATCATCTTCCTGAAATGCATGATGGCGAGGAATTGCAGACACTTCCTCTGTGAATGCAGAGATCAGATCATTGTTTGATAATACATAATTTTATTTATCTTGATTCTGTGATGGCTAATGTATTTGTTTTTATTTGGTGTTTATGCAGGTTGGTCTGGTGTACATGTTCAATCTGATTGTTGGCACCGGCGCCCTGACCATGCCCAAGGCTTTTGCAGCAGCCGGTTGGGTGGTCAGCGTCTCTCTCATTACCTTTTTGGCTTTTATGAGGTATGTTCTTGTTTTTGGTTTTATTCTTTTTTAATCCATCAACAACTTTTTTTTCTCTGCTAAGGCTGGAAACACTAGCTTTTTAACAACTTTTGGGTTTCCTTCATCTGTGTTAAAACTTTTATTATTTTTGGGTCTGATTAAATCTTGAAACTAATTTGATTTAAATTTATTTAGTGATAAAGCATTGTTGACACTGCCAGAGCTTTAATAAATCAGACTTCTGTTTCTACTTGAGAAGTGCACTAAATGTTCATTGAGAAGTATAGAGTGGGACAGAATAGGATGGACTTTTTATTTCCAAACAATCAGACAGTTTTTTGTACACTCTGTTGTACAATACTATTAATTCTGTCATAATTTCCATCATAATAAATGGTCCATACACACACACACACACACTGTTCAGTCAAAATATTGCAATGCATAATTGAAGTTTAATAATTACAGTGCATTCAGAAAATATTCATAGCTCTTTACTTTTTCCATATTTTTTATGTTACAACCTTATTCAAAACGGATTTAAATTAATTTATTTCCTCATTTCTACACACAATACCACTTAATGACAATGTGAAAAATACTTTTTAAATTTTTTTGTAAATTTAATAAAAATAAATAACCTGAGAAATCACATGTACAGCAGTATTCACAACCTCAGTACATTCTGTTTCCACTGATCACTTTTGAGATGTTTTAGCAGTTTAATCGGAGTTCACCTGTGGTAAATTCAGTTGATAGGACATGATTTGAAAAGGCATACACCTGTCTATTTAAGGTCCCAGGGTTGTGCATGTCAAAGCACAAACCAAGCATAAAGACAAAGAAATTGTCAGTGCATCTCCGAGACAGGATTGTCTCGAGGCATAAGGCTGGGGAAGGTTACAGAAAAAATTCTGCTGCTCTGAAAGTTCCAATGAGCACAGTGGCCTCCTCATCTGTAAGTGAAAGACCAGGGGCCTCATGTACGAAGACTTGCGTGGAAATCATACTAAAACAAAGCTGTAAATGTGCGTACGCAGAAAAAAATTCAGATCTATGAAACACTGCGTATGCCGAATTTCACACAGATTTTTTTGTACATCCGAATGAACGTGAAACTGAGCGCAACATGCACGAGCACAGATGTCACAGATATAGATAAAACATATAGAAAGAAAGGAGTCAGAGGTAGGGAGTAACAACAATGCTTATTAATGTATGATAGTAAAAATGAGAGTAAAAAGAGAGAAAGGACAACAGTAATAACTGACAACAACAATAATAATAAATCACAAGTGCTACACCAACTACTACTACAGAAAGTTACTTTTATAACAACTACTACTGCTTCTACTACAGCCACAACCACGAATGAACGTTAAACTAAGCGTAACATGCACGAGCACAAAACCCCTTCCCTGCCTCCTCCCCCGTATGAATATGCTAATGACTATACTTTGGCAAAACTCAACGAAAAAGCAATGACAAAATCAAGCAAAAAGAGAAACTTTGAACAGAATGTGAATTGGAGGTGCTGCTTTCGGAGGTAGACCGGAGAAAAGCGGTGTTATTTGCAAGTTTGTTCTCCGGAATTAAAAACAAAAGAAAAAAATAGAGTGGGAGAGTTTAGCTGATGCGGTTAACACAGTTGGGTCTGAACATCGCACTGAGTGAATTAAAAAATAAATGGTGTGGTTTATAGGTGTAAAATGTTGCAGTACCCTAAACAGTCTTAGTGGTGCAGCTCATAAGACGCATGTCAACATGTTTTGACACGTTCGAGCTTGAACTAGGTTCGAAACCAGCGTCTGATAAACTTTCTTTTTTTTTTTTCCCTGCTACATATCAGATTTTGCTAACTATTTATCACGAGAAAGACAAGTAGGAATCATTAATAAGTTTGTGCATCATATTTTATTTGCACATTTATTGAATGGAAATGTTTCTGATTCACGCATGCAAATTCATCTTCAGATAGTGTCTTTATAGCAATGTGCGTGCAGTAGATAGCTCAGATTACATTGGGAAAACAGGCGACCGCTACAAATTGTGCTTTAATGTTTAGCTGGTTAACTGTATGGTATGGAAACCTTATATACTTGCTAGATGAACCCGTCTCATACAGCTGCCAAGGCTCAGACACTTTGTAGAGAGGAATTTGACACAATTGCCTCTAGGAGTCGCCAATGGAAATAAAACAGACACGCACAAAAAATGTGCGTACGCCTGCCATAAAGCTGCCGAGGAGCTGCGCACATTCTCACGTTCAGTTCATCAATAGTAAATCCAAACGTGAGCGATTCTGAGCTTGAAACCTGTCGTACGCAAAGTTTTTTTGCGTACGCAGCGTTAAAACATGAGGCCCCAGGACTTTTCCTAGAGCTGGCCAACCATCTGAGCTGAGTGATCAGGGGAGAAGGGCCTTAGTCAGGGAGGTGGTCACTCTTTCTGAGGTCCAGCATTCTTCTGTGGAGAGAGGAGAACCTTACAGAAGGACAACCATCTGTGCAGCAATCCACCAATCAGGCCTGTTTGGAAGAGTGGCCAGACAGAAGCCACTCCCCGCCAAAATATCTATGGAGTGGCTTCAAAACAACTCTGTGAATGTCTTTGAGTGACCCAGCCAGAGCCCAGACTTGAATCTTATCGAACATTCCTGGAGAGATCTGAAAGTAGCTGTACACAATTGGTTCCCATCCCACCTGATGGAGCTTGAAAGGTACTGCAAAGAGGAATGGGCAAAAATTCCCAAAGACTGGTGTACCAAGGGGGCAATTCAGATCAATTTGGAAGGGCACTTTCTATCCAAGACTAAAAAGGGCATGAGCACTGCACAGGTTGACCCATATGAGTGCACGTGCCTGACTTTATATCATAAATACAGTGCTTATTTGCATGTGGCTAGTCCTACATTAAAGCAAATAATCACTTTCCAAAACCTTTACTCTCTCTGTATTTCTCTGGTGGAGAGACCTACCAATCTACACATGAGCTGCTTAATTATGATTGTTGTATTCATGAGTTTATACACATTTGTGTCCTCAAAAACACAGAGATTAAAAAACAAACAAACTTTTTCTTTATTTTTTTTACTCTCTGGCTTATTTTTCAGTCTGGTTGTCTAATTAACTTGGCATTATGTAACGTTGTTATTATCAATTCTGTTAAATTGCTTCAATACTCCAGAGTAAGTTGCTTTGCATAAAAGTGTGTGTTATTTGAATAAATGTAAATGTATCAAATATATGCAAACTAGTGCAAAACCAGTGGACCAAAGTGACACTTAAAAAGGTATGGGTTATGTTGCAAAGAAACATTTCTTTGTAATGTTTTATTTTTGTTTTATTTTTATTTTTTACTTTGTTTTTCATTTAATTCTTCATTTAAATCAAAAAGAATTTCTACTCAACTGAAAGCTATCTCAGTTATAACCAATTTAATAACGTATTATTGATATTTATATAATACTAAAGCCATACAAAACCTGTTTTATTTCTTAGTTGTCTTTTTTAAAAATTCTGGTTTCTATGTTTTATGAGTGAATAAAATGTACTTTCTAAAATCTATTTTATTCTAAAATGTAATATTAAAGCTTTTTATACAAACGTACTATTAAAAAACTATTGAAAAGAAACAAACCCTTAAATTTATTACTATTTAGTAATGCTTTTAAAATTCTAAAAAATATAATGCATTGAAAAGAGTTTGATTTTAATTTTTTAGAAATTGATTGATTCATTGATTCATTCATTTTCCTTCTGCTTAGTTTTCATTCTAGAGGTTGCCTCAGCGAAATAAACCGGCAACTATTTGAGCGTATGTTTTACGCAGCAGATGCCCTTCCAGCTGCAACCCAGTACTAGGAAACACCCATACACTCTCGCATTCTCACATACGCTCATACAGTACGGCCAATTTAGTTTATTCAATTCACCTATAGCGCATGTCTTTGGACTGTGGAGCACCCGTAGGAAACCCACGTTAACAAAGGAAAACATGCAAATTCCACACAGAAGAGCCTCCTGGGACTCAAACCAGTGACCTCGCTGTGATATAATAATGTGTATAATGAAATAAAATCAATTTCATTTATTATAATTTATTTCAAACCAACTGTTTAGCAGCTCTGTACTGCAATACTAATAATTCTGTCGCAATTTCTTTGATTAAGGCCAAACTTATATTTTAGTAAGACATTTGAGTTTGTGTGTATTTGACAGTATTTTCAAATGAAGAAATGCAATGACTCTTATGGCACAGGTATTGCAGTGTAGTCTGATCTACAACACCTCTTTTGATTTACTCACCCAAAACTCATGATATTTCAAACAGTAAGCTTCATTTTAGTACAATGGAGATTTAGATTTACGTACTTTAGAAAGCATGTCCTCAAAATGGGATAACTCTTAGGTAAAAGGCTGCATTAAGAAATTTGTAGGATCAAGTATAGTTCAAATCTTTTTTTTTTTTTTTTTCATTTGGAAGATTTCAAGCATACATTTGAATGATTAATGTGGTGAAAGATGCCTGTTGTTCATGTTTTGGGACATTTGTGAACATAAGGATATCCTACATAGCCACATTGAAAAATCATTGACAAAATGGCTCAGAAAGAGAAAAATCGCTTTGGGAAAATCGTTTACAATAAACTTTTCATAACCCATATGGGTTTATGTATTTTTAAATAGTTTATTTAATTCCTATTTTAAGATTTTTTTTAATTGTTTGTTTTATGAATTCATCTTGGTGTTTCATCATTTATTTCAGTGTTTGTTTTCCACAGGTTGTGGTTTTCCTTTGCCATCTTTATACTGTCTAAATAAGTTTATACTGCTGTTTGGCTTAATTACTTTTAAGGTTTCACATACTGTATTCAGTTTTGAGTCTGTACGCATTAGATTTTCATTGATATTCCTTGTGGTGCTTTGCCATATGGGTTAGAATGGGTCTCCAATTTGGATGATGTATTTAGAGCATGAATTTGAGAAGTGTAATTCTGTCTCTCTTTTGTGTACCTTTTCTCAAAACGAGCAAAACAAGCCTTCTATTGGTCTTCGTTGCTTGCTATTTTCCTCTGTCAGTCGCTCATCTTTAGCTGACCTCTCGACCCTGTTACCACCACTGCTGCTGCTGTGGCCATCAAAACACATTTATAACCTGTGCCAACCTGCCAACTGTCGGGGCCACTGACAGAGCCTCGGGGAGAGTTATGAGTGTTTAGATGAAACGGGATGGAGCTGTATATCAATGGAAAAAGATCAGGCAACAGCAGCTTTTAAAGTCTTTAAATTTAGGTTATGAGAGGCCATGTCCAAATGAGATGGACATGCTCTGTGACTTATAGTTTTCATATATTTTCCAGTGGCATTGAGTGATAGTTAAATGTATGTGTATTGAATATTGTATCTCAACTCATCTTATGTATAAAGCATTTTCAAAACCATTATATTAATAAATACTAAAATTCATTACTAACATAATATGACAATTTAATATCAAGAGAAAACATCACAATTGTCAAACCTAATCATAAATTTGTACAATAAGTCTTTAACTTATTAAAAATGTTCAAGCTTGAGAGGGTTTATAGATAATGGTAATACGTTTCAAACTACTGAAGTGTCATATTCCATGTTAAAAAACTCCTATTGAGTCTTTTTTTATTAAAATAATAATAAAAAAAATAAAGAACACATCCAAATTACAAAAACCTTAACTAAATTAAAATTTAAAATGGAAAATCTATATAAAATAACTAAAAGGTAATTCAATCTATTAATAAAAACTTCATAAATATCTCAGTCATCTTAAATTAGCACAGTTATGTATTTTAGAATTATAAATATGTGCATATTTCACATTTTAAGAGCAATTTTTAAAGCAGACATTGATGCTTAAATCAGTTGTTTCACAGTCATTTCCTGTATAGACAACAATATCTGGAAATTAAAGCCAAAATTTTCAACACTCACCAATATTTAAAGATGGTTCAAAGGTGGAAAATGGTGTAGCAGCAGCAATGGTGACTGGACAACAACATTCCTCAGGCAGACTGATTCCGTAATGTTCAATATTCTCAGCTGAAGCCCTTGCTTTACCTTTAACTTTGGAATGTATAGAAAATGTCAAACACTCTTGTTTTTCCAGACTCCAAATCATGCCTCCAAGCAATGGAATCTTCAAAAAAAATCATGTTTTGATTGATAGCATTTTTAACCAAACTTCACCAAAATCAGCTTTATCATATAATTTTTGCCTGGCTCCAGGATATGTAGGTCTTGTAGGAAATGAGCGAGCTGATGCAGCTTCTAATGTCGCTTTGAAACAAGTGGTGAACAAAGGCCAAACTCCTCCTTCAGAAATGAGACCTTTTATCAATGTTTACAATTAAAAAATTTTCATTAGTGGCAAGAAGAGTGGGATGCATTGTAAAATAACAAATTGTATGAAATACAACCCGAGTCAAATAATTTTAAGAAATTTGATCAAGATGTCAAGACCAGATGTTACTTGGACATATAAGATTAACCCATGCCTTTTTGCTTAAAGATGAAGACCTCACTCAATGTTTGTAGTGCATAATTCTCCTTACTGTAAAACACATTTCACTGGAATTTCCTCCTTTTAATGATTCAAGAAGAAGATTAAGATTGTTTTTTTATAAAACAAACTCTCTTAGGGACATTTTTAACAGTGACACCAAGAAATGTTTTAAATTTTGTATCATGTATTAACACCTTAAAATCTTATTTAATTTATGAACTTGAAGCATATTGCATTTTTAAACTTCTTCTGTTGAATCCCTTAATGACTCTAGGGATGCTCAGATCAGGATTTTTTCATCTGATACCGAGTACAGATTCCTTGTCATGGTGATTGGCCAATACCAATTACTGATTCAAATGCTTCAAGCTTTAAAATGCATTAGCACATTATCCTTCTAAGTGTGAAGTTGAGATCTCTCCTTGCCTAAGAGAATAAATGAAAGATGCTTCATATAATTAAACATGTCTCTTATAACCATTTAGTGTGGACATGTCATGGCCAGATGCAGCTTTACAGAAAATATTAACACTGATATAAAAAATAGTTCCTCTGCTTGGAAACTCATAAACAAAGCCCTGCGGTTGGATCATGTGATCGGCCAGATCATTATATGTGATTATAGGCCAATGTTGATCTTCAGCCGATTGATTGCACCATCCTTAAATGACTCTGCTAAATATCTAAATTTAAATGTGCTCTGTCTCCTCCCAGTTTCATGACCACCACATTTGTGATTGAAGCCATGGCCGCTGCCAATGCCCAGCTGCGCTGGAAGAGGAGAGAACAGGAAGAGGTTTGTGACCACCAGTTTTTTTTTTGAGAGCTCTAAACATTGTGCTCCGGTTATTCCCTATGTAAATTGCACTGGTCATGGAAATTCTGCACAGCCCACTGCAGGTAATCAAGTCAGAAATTTGATAAAGCTCTGAATGACACTGACCTATCAGTGAAGGAAATGGTGCCATTTAGGGCAGACATACTAAAATAGAGCTATTATGTGTTGAAGCAGATTTAGAACGAGGCCAGAGCTCAGTATGATTTCACTCCTACAAACAGAATATAGATACTGGTCTTCTGCAAACGTTGGCCTATAAAAGCGCAAAAGCTAAATATTTGTATTTATATATTTATATTTTAACAGTCTCTTATTTTTACAAAGCTATACCAAAGATTGTGATTTTATCGAGTTGGCATGGAATGATAGTGTAATTTGGCAAAATGCTCTATTTTTTGTTTTTAACATTTATTGTGCACAGCTTTACAGGTAAGTGAGCTGCTGCAATGATCAAACGTATTCTCCAAGAGCATATGTCAATTTTGCACTCTTTTAAAGAGACCCTAAAATAATAATTATATTATTTACACATTCCTGTTTATAACATGATCTCAATAAGCAAAACATCTTGAGTGGGTTAAATGTACAATAAAATAACACGATAAAATAAGGTGATAAACGTATTCAAAAATATATTAAACAAATATTATGGCATTCACTACGGTTGACTAATTTCTGTCTGTCAGCACTTCAAACACACACATTTAAATCAAAAGAAAACGGTAAATACAAACCTAACACATTATAATGGCATTCACCACAAGCAACATTTATTCTTAACATTGATGTATGAAATGCATTATTCAAGCACTCTTGTCTCTTCTTGGGCACAAACATAATATTACTTTTGCTAAAGATACAAGTTGCAACATGCTTAATATAACAAAGTCTGACTTATTTAGAAAATAGACCATTTGCAACTGAACATTTTGCTGTTTTTTGTAAAACACTGTTCTTCTGGGTTACTGCAGGATATGTCAGGATTACTGATTAGAATGAAAGATAAAGCAAACAGAAAAGAGTGAAAGTAGCAGAATTGCAAAATGAATTAACGGTTCATATTTCGTTTTCTCTCTGCAATGTGTTTTAGAATGCACTATATAAAGGCACACTACTTACTACTTTAAATGATTAAATTATATGCTGTTGTTTTAGAAAATACAGGTATCCAAAATTAAATTATCAGTATCAGTACATCCATAATTGCTACAATTTAAAATAACTTTGTGTATTTTAAAATGTAATATATTCCCTCTTTTCAATGTGTATTCAAGTCTTTATCATATTTAAGAAATAATTTTTATATACTGATTATTATCAGTGTTGCACTTGCACTACCTGACAAGGATTGTTGTTGATCCCAGTTGAAAGAGCAACAAATATTAACTTGACTTCTAATTGATAATTTGGAAAGATGTCAGGCGGTACTTTTTTTTTTTTTTTTTGATAAATCATCTGTGAAACTGCATCCCAGTCGACACAAATACTGCAAAAGATGCACTGGAACCCGCATAGAGTCAAGTTTGGTGAAGGAAAAATTATGGTTTTGGGTTTGTGCTCTAGGATTGGCCAGCCCAGTCACCAGATATGAACCTTATTGAGCATGTCTGAGGTAAGATGGAAAAGGCATTTAAGATGAATCTAAAGAATCTTGATGAACTGAGTCCTGCAAGAACGCTTTCTTTGCCATCCCAGATGACTTTATTAATAAGTTATTGGAGTCTTTGCAGAGATGTATGGATGCAGTCCTCCAAGCTCATGGGAGTCATGCACACTATTAATTCTGTTTCTACTGCATTATGACTTTGTATTCTATACTGGACAATTTTTATTTTAAGTGATAAGACTTTGTCTAAGCAAAGTCAGGCCTTACTGTTCTGATTTAATATTTATAAATCATAATAACATTTTGGTAAAATAAGCGTAATCTAGAGGCCTTTGCCTTTCGTATAAGCCACTTCTGATATCAAATGATCAACTAGAAGTCAAGTTATTTGTTGTTCCTAAAACTTGGATAGACGACAAGACTTTTGTTTAAGTGTACATGTTTTTTTTGTGTTTGTGTGAAAACTGTGATGATACAAAAAATTGAATTGCACAGTCATTATTTAAAATAGATTTTGAAACGTTTTTTAAGTCCTTGATTTATGAAATGAACCATTTTTGTTGTCATAACTATTTTAAGGTTAATGACAGTGACTCCAGCTCAGACTATTCCGATGATGAGGTCATTATAAGGGGACGTTCCGAACCCGTGGAGACACGGCCAATTCTGTCCGTCCGTAAGTACTGTTTGTATTATATTGTGCCTTTGTCAATATTATGCTGTGGAGTGCTAGCCAAGATCAAAATCATAAGGGCATTGTTGGTTTTGTCATCTGATATAACAGAGCGTGCCGCGAATATAGACCACTTTGACATTGTGGAGAGAGTCGAGATGGGACAGATGGCCTCCATGTTTTTTAACAAAGGTAAGGTTTCTTGTGTCATTATGTACTACAGTATAATCTTCACTTAAGACATTTACTTTATTAGGCTATTAAACAGGCCTCAAAGGATGGCTTCTGAAGGTCAAGTTTTGCCTGATTGTTCTGTAACACAGAACAAGGTCATTTGCTACTAATGGGGTGTAATTTAGAAATAGTAAAATTGCTTTTGGTTATAATGACCTCAAGAAGATTTGTTATCTACTGTAATAGAAGTAATTACAGGAGAAGCTTGCTTAAAAGAGAAGCTTGTTTAAAGACGGACAACTCGGGTAATGAGAAGCTTATGATGAATCTGAAGAAGACATGTTCACCTTGAACTACAGACAGAGGCGTCTTTTATACTGCTTCCTATTTTCAGGATTCTTGCCCTCCTAAGCATCATTTCACAAGCGGTGTTACGTAAAGGCTGACTCAACAGTGGCCCAAGCCGCCTTGTAATATCTCAACAGCATTGCTTTTGGCATCTTTTCCAACCATCAAGTAAAGGACAGACATCAGAAATGGCCTTCTACACAAAACGTTACAGGGGCTTAAGGCAAAAAATCCCACCAAAATGAACAATATTTACACTCAAATTGAAGATGAGCGGGCATACGTTTATTTTATATTTAAAAAAAATGTGTGATTAAAGTCAGTGGTGGAAAATTTAGATCTAATGATTGAAATATGTGACACCAGAGCACAAAAACCGTTTCAAGTGTCATTTTTTTTTAATTGAGATTTGTACATCATCTAAAAGTGGAATAAATAAGCTTCTGTTGATGTATGGTTTGTTTGCATATGACAATATTTGGCTGAGGAGCAACTATTTGAAAATCTGCATCTGGGGGTTAAATATGGAGGATGAATTGCATGTAAATTTGTTAAAATTGCAAATGTTGTAATGTATGCACTACCTGAAAAAAGTCTTGTCTTCTTTTCAGTTTTAGGAACAACAAATAATAACTTGAATTTTAGTTGATCATTTTATATCAAAAGTGGCTTACATGAAAGGCAAAGGCCTCTAGATCACGCTTATTTTAACAAAATAAAATATGATCATGCATTTTTTTTTATTATTTAATAAAGACATTGAGGTCTGACTTTGCTTAGACAAGTCTTGTCACTTAACAAAATTATATACAGTATAGAATATAAAGTCATGGTGCAGTGGAAAAAGAATTAATATTGTGTATGACTCTCATGAGCTTGGACGACTGCATCCATACATCTCTGCAATGACTCAATTAGCTTATTAATAAAGTCTTCTGAAATGGCAAAGAAAGCATTCTTACCACCAGAGTTCCAGACTCTTTGGATTAATCTTTAATGCCTCCTTCTTCATCTTACCCCAGACATGCTCAATGTTCATGTCTAATGACTGGGCTGGCCAAACCTAGAGCACCTTGACCTTCTTTGCTTTTAGAAACTTTGATTTGGAGACTGAGAAGGAGCGCTATCCTGCTGAAGAGTTTGTCCGGTGATTTGTAATGTAAAGGGCAGCACAAATGTCTACCTCAGTCTGTTGATGTTGCTTTTGACTCTGCAGATCTTTAGCACACCCCCATACTGAATGTAACCCCAAACCATGGTTTTTCCTTCACCAAACTTGACTGATTATCTGTGAGAATTGAGTCGATGCGTGTCCCAATAGGTCTTCTGCAGTATTTGTGATGATTGGGATGCAGTTCAACAGATGATTCATCTGTAAAATGCACCTTCTGCCATATTTCCAAGTGATCAACAAGAAGTCATGTTATCATTTTTTGCAATTACAATTGGGATTGTCGACAAGACTTTTGTCAGGTAGTGTATTTGCTTCAATTTTAAAATGTTATAATATATAATTAATAATTAAGTCTGACTTTGTTCTGAATATAGACCATATGTGAATCAAAACACATTCTGTAAAGCAATGTTTACCTGGGTTATTAAAGGAAAATGTTATTTATTGAATGAAAGGTAAAACAATTAACAAAAAAAAAAAAAAAAAGTGAAATTAGATTAGGCCGTTAATTTTTTTTATTCCAAAATGGGACGACTATAGCAAAGTTCCTAGCAATGTACATTACATAACAAAAATTACATTTTGATATATCTACATGATCTTTAATTAATTAAAAATCGATCATTTAGACCTATAAAGTGCATTCCCTATGCAAAATAAGACTTGTTTTGTGTTCCAGGGTCACATGATGATCATAAATATTGCATCTACAAAACAAAACAAATTAAATCCATAAATTCTTTGTCTTTAATGTAAAAGAAATGAATTATCTAAAGATCCACAGCATGTGATGACTGAAGCCCCCCACTAGGTGGTGCACTTGTTTCATCATTTAGCAAACCTGATCATCCCTGCCTCTTATGTGCTGCACACACTCGCATGCGGTGCACAAAAACACACATTTGTAGCTCCTGAGCTTAGTGTTTTCTCAGCACGGACGTCACACGTTCACCCTGTCGACTCTTTGTTATTCTATTAAGCGTGATGTGTTAAAATAGCTTGCCGTGCGCTGACCTTTAACAGCATAAGATGGAGTGAAGTGGCCACTTTGGAGGTGCACTTGGGAGAAACTAATGACTACCTGAGCGGCATAGCCGACTCTGCTCATAAATGTGCTAAATGGAAGCGTAACTCACTGTGAAGGAGATTAGTTTAGTTAGTGTGACTTCAGTATTGATTGTAGGTTTAAATATAATACACGTTTGCCCTCCTGTCTTAGGACATGCTGTCTTTTTAGTGCTAGTGCAATTGCTAAATGCAGCCTTTGTAATGGGACGATCAATCCGTGAGCTGCCATTCAGTGGGAAGAAACCGCAGGCTTGTATATGTCTAAATAAAAGGTAGTTAAGAGGTTTAACGTTAGTGAATGGACTTTAGGATTGTCAGGGAGGGTTGTTTTTACACGGAATACCCATGGGCTTGATTGTTTGGGTGCAATTACTCTCATAAGCTAAATGTAATTTGTATCAGCTCTGGATTGAAATGAACAACGGGAAAGTTGGTTTCATCGTTGGACAGGATTGTTCATGGCCGCTGGTTTATCTGGGCTGTTCGCAGTGGCTGTAACCTTCCCACTGACAGGTTGATTGGAAGACTGCTTCGGATAATGTCACAGAGGAGATAGATTAGTCCATGATTGATTTTGTTTTTGGTTGTGCTTGCTAAGATTATTGCCTTTGCTCATAATGGGATTTTTTTTTCAAAACTCTCAACCATAACTGCAATTCCTTAGCATTGAATTCATGCGTCACTGTTTATGCTACATACGAGGCCGATACTTTAAATTGTGTTTAAATTGTTAAATTGTCTTTTTTTTCGTGTTGGATTTGTAGTTTTTGATGAGAGAGTTTAATCAATGAAATTTTAGGTGTAGTTTTGATCAATTACTGGTTATCATCAGTAAGAACGTGTGTTAGTGCCTCTCCACTTTTACAGTCGGGTTGGTTGTTTTTTTTTTTGTTTGTTTGTTTTTTTGTAAAACACTTAAACCAATCAGCTACAAGGTGGATCACTGCATTACTTCAAATGAAAATTTGTAATGCATTACACTCAATGGTCACTTTGTTAGGTACACCTTACTAATACTGGGTTTGACCCCTTTTTGCCTTCAGAACTGCCTTAATCCTTCATGGCATAAATTTAACAAGGTACTGGAAATATTCCTCAGAGATTTTGGTCCATATTGACATGATAGCATCACGCAGTTGCTGCAGATTTGTTGGCTGCACATCCATGATGCGAATCTCCCATTCCACCACATCCCAAAGGTGCTCTATTGGCTTAAGTTCTGGTGACTGTGGAGGCCATTCGAGTACAGTGAACTCATTATCATGTTTAAGAAACCAGTCTGACATGATTGACGCTTTATGATTTGTAGTGTTATCCTGCTGGAAGTAGCCATCAGAAGATGTGTACACTGTGGTTATAAAGGGATAGACATGGTCAGCAACAATACTTAGGTAGGCTGTGGCGTTGACACAAAGCTCAATTGGTATTAATGGGCCCAAAGTGTGCCAAGAAAATAACCCCGACATCATTACACCACCAGCACCAGCCTGAATCGACAAAAGGGAGGATGGATCCATGCTCTCATGCTGGTGATGCCAAATTCTGACCCTACTATCTGAATGACGTAGCAGAAATTGAGACTCATCTGACCAGGCAAAGTTTTCCGATCTTCTATTGTCCAATTTTGGTGAGCGTGTGAATTGCAGCCTCAGTTTCCTGTTATTAGCTGACAGGAGTTGCACCCGATGTGGTCTTCTGGTGCTGTACCTCAAGGTTCGACATGACAGATTCAGAGATGCTCTTCTGCATACTTTAGCTGTAACGAGTGGTTATTTGAGTTACTGTTGCCTTACTGTCTGCCCATTCTTCTCTGACCTCTGACATCAACAAGACATTTGCGCCAACAGAACTGCCGTTTACTGGATATTTTCTCTTTTTCGGACCATTCTTTGTGAACCCTAGAGATGGTTGTGCGTGAAAATCCCAGTAGATCAGCAGTTTCTGAAATACTCGCACCAGCCTGCGTGACATCAACAACCATGCCACATACAAAGTCGCTTAAATCACCTTTCTTTCCCATTCTGATGCTTGGTTTGAACTGCAGCAGATCATCTTGACCATTGAGTTGCTGCCATGTGATTGGTTGGTTTAAAAATTTGCGTTAACGAGCAGTTGGACAGATGTACCTAATAAAGTGGCTAGTGAGTGTATATAGCTGGCAAAAGGCAAACATACTGACAAGTCTGAGTACCTAAGTACACACACAAAAAAAAAAAGAGCGAAAAGATTAATTCCATTAAGGATTGTAAATGGCACGTTGTAATCAAAAATATGTAATGTAAAATTGGTTATTTTGTGTCTCTATAAGTTAGATTTTAATTTTTCAGGTAGTTTAAACGATTTCAGTGCAGACTAAAGTTATTTTGAGCGATTTCTTGCTTTCTTATTTGCTTTCTTTCCTTCTCTCTTGCTTGGGATTGATGCCAAAGACACATGCAGCAGCTTTTAAATTGGGCCACAGTCACTAAACCATAATAATAAAATCCATTAATGGCACTCATCTAATTTCTTTTTCAGTGGTTTGTTCACTTGAGACCTTACTGGCTGATTTTGAGAACACTCAAAAACACTAGTATTTTGACACTTGTGTATATCTGTCCATTCAAGAGCAAGAAGACTCTAAATAGAGCTCAACTCCAGTTTCCATGCTCACACAGAAAATAGCTCTTAAGTTCTTTCATGTCACTTTGCTCTTTTATGGTTTAAAATAGATGGAATGTTCAAATTGGCTAGATATAAAAATATTTGCGAGTATTAATTTTGTGACAATGTAGCCATGGCCCATTTAGCCAAGTGACATGTTAATTGTCTCAAATTTCTCATGCTGGTGGTCAGCGGGGAGTCCTTACTGCAGATCTGTGAACTAGTTATTATTGCTCAAATTCTGCTATTAAATATAATTATAAAAAAAAAGAGATATCTTCTAATTCTTGCTCACAGATATGTGTAACAAAAGAATTTGCGGTTAATTTGCAAGCTTAAAGTTGACAACTGATCTGTCTCCATGGTTTAATCAGTTACTGTTAAAATTTTATATTAACCGATTGAGAATTGAGCTTTTGTTGTTCCAGAACTCCAATGTTGTGAAATATTATTTTGACCCTTATTGTATCAATGTATGATTTTTTTTTATCTGTAAATGCATAAAAGCAATCAAAAAAGCCATTTCTATTCACAGAATAGAATGTTGAAGTCGAATAAAGTAAGAATAATGGGTTAAAACAGTTTTAAAGCTGATATTTTTATGAAACCTTAATACATCTGTGTTTAAAGTAACAGATTCCCTCCATTGACTTTGTGTTCATAATTTGCCACGTTTTCTGCCAGCTTTTCGCCACTTATCTCAGTAAAATGAACTGAAACTGACAGCAGCACTGGCTGCTTTTTAATGTGGTTGGAGAAATGACTTAATTAGGCTCATAAAAGAGTATATCGTAAATTTTTTTTGTTCTTTAAATCTAGTTTTAATAGTCCGTTCACTCTAGACAACTTCAGAGTAATTAATGACCTGATTGGTCGGTTGGACCGTTCGAGATCCTCACAGGAGCTTCGGAGATGATGAATGTGTGGTGTGGTTTGTGTTTCCTCCTGAATGCTCTCCATCTCATCTCCAACTGGCAGGGACGGAGTGATGGATGGATGGAGGAACAGGTGAAGAGGAGTGTGGGGTTAATGAAGAGAAGAGAGGGAGGGGGGAATTTCGTAATGAAGTGCTCGCTTCTTTAATTAGGGTGATTTATACAGCTGTGATGCAGCTCTGTGCGTTTAGTGGGTATGGAGTGTTGGGGAGGAACATCATAGGAATCTTTTAGGAATGGGTGCCGCCCATCTTCATGTTCAGTGAACCTCGCCACCTGTTTGCGTTTTATGTAAAGCCATGAATCTTTAGAATGACACACATGTTGCTTCTTTCCACAGTTGGTGTCAATATGTTCTACATCTGCATCATCGTGTACCTGTATGGAGACCTGGCCATTTATGCCGCTGCTGTGCCTGTGTCACTGATGGAGGTAGCATGGTGAGTTGAATATCTTTGGATATTTGTATGTTAATACATTAAATTAAACTCCGCTTTATTACCCTTTCCCATGTTTAAATATTGGTTGCGGTTGTAAATTGGAAAAGAAAGTTGTCCAAATCTGCATTATATTTAAACCATTTATATACAGTTGAAGTTAGAATTATGAGCCCCCCTGAATTATCCGCTGCCCTGTTAAATGTTTTTCCCTAATTTCTGTTTAACGGAGAGAAGATTTTTTTCAACACATTTCTGAACATAATAGTTTTAGTAACTCATCTCTAACAACTGATTTATTTTATCTTTGCCATGATGACAGTAAATAATATTTGACTAGATATTTTTCAAGACGCTTCTATAAGCTTACAGTGACATTTAAAGACTTAACTAAGTTAATTAAGTTAAAAAGGCAGGATAGGATAATTAGCCAAGTTATTGTATAATGATGGTTTGTTCTGTAGACTATCAGAAAAAAATTGCTTAAAGGGGCTAATAATTTTGACCTTAAAATGTTTTTTTTTTTAATTACTTTTATTCTAGCCAAAATAAAACAAATCAGACTTTCTCCAGAAGAAAAAATGTTATCAGACATACTGTGAAAATGTCCTTGCTTTTAAACACAATTTAGGAAATATTATTTATTTATTTATTTTTTAATTTTTAAGGGGGGCTAATAATTCTGACTTCAACTGTATGTGTGAAAGTCTGTACAGTGTGCACTAAGAGGTAATTTAAATGTTAATGGTTCATTCATAAAACAATTCTCAGTGCATCATAATGAATTTGGTTTTGTTTTGTAAATAATACCTTCTGTTTTCTATGTAATCTATTGTTTTTAATTTATTAAAGCTAGAACAATGGTGTAAATAACAAATAATAGAGCAGATACAATAAATGTATAATAATTTTTTTTATTTTATTTTTTTTAGTAAAACTATTACATTCCACATCTCAACTATTTATATAAACAATCATTTGGTGTAATAAATGCAAGCATTTGAATGAATGGCTGTTATCGTGTCTGTTCTAATGTGACCACTTGCATACGGTCAAAGCTTGTTTTATTGATTAATTAAATTTTTTAAAAAACTTTTTATTGTAAAGGCTCATGAAATTACCTCATTTTTTACATTTTAACTGGGTGTTTGGGTTAAACTTGTTTAATTTTTCAGCTGTGACATAAGTACGCACTGCCCAGTTGTTTTGGATTTTTGTAAATCTAGTATTAATTGACAAATACTGGGCTTTAACACATAACTGACGCCATTGAATGAGGTCATATCGAAATTCTGCCCTTTACGTATCTTTGTTGGATTCTGATGTTTATTTATAGACATTAACAAATTTGTTACAAAACAATGAAATTCGATTTGTCATAAGATTGTCATAAAACATTTATCTTTGCTAATTCATTTTGTGGAGGTCAAGATAGTATTTTTGGATGCTACAGCCTTATTCCAAAATGGACTAAATTCATTTATTTCCTCAAAATTCTACACACAATACCCCATAATGACAATGTGATATTTTTTTTTAATTGTTGCAAATTTATAAAAAAAATAAATTAAAAATCTGAGAAATCACATGTACGTAAGTATTCAAAGCCTTTGTCGTGAAGCTCTAAATTGAGCTCAGGTACATTCTGTTACCACTGATCATTCTTGAGATATTTCAGCAGCTTAATTGGAGTTCATCTGTGGTAAATTCAGTTAATTGGACATGATTTGAAATCCACCTGTCTATATAACCTCCCAGGGTTGACGGTGCATGTCAGCACAAACCAAGCATGAAGACAAAAGAATTGTCTGTGTGTCTCCGAGACACACCACCAAAATATCATGGAGTGGCTTCACAACAACTCTGTGAATGTACTGGAGTGGCCCAGCCAGAGCCCAGACCTAAATCCTATTGAGCATCTCTGGAGAGATCTGAAAATGGCTGTACACCATCCCTTCACATTCAACCTGATAGAGCTTGAGAGGTACTCGAAAAAAGGAATGGGCAAAAATTCCCAAAGACGGGTTTGTGCTAAGCTTGTGGCATCATATTCAAAAAGACTTGAGGCTGTAATTGCTGCCAAAGGTACATCAACTAAGTATTGAGCAAAGGCTGCGAATACTTCTGTACATGTGATTTTCAAGTTTTTATTTGTAATAAATTTGCAACAATTTATAAAAATCTATTGTGTGTAGAATTGACAAAACAAATACATTTAATCTATTTTGGAATAAGGTTGTAACACTTAAAGAAATGTGGAAAAAATGAAGCACTATGAATACTTTCCGGATGTACTGCCTTAACTTATTTTATTGCTTATCACCAATTTATATTTCATTCTCTCATTCATTTTCTTGTCGGCTTAGTCTCTTTATTGATCCGGGGTTGCCACAGCGGAATTAACCGTCAATTTATCCAGCACATGTTTATGCAGCGGATGCCCTTCCAGCCGCAACCCATCTCTGGGAAACCAATTTATATTTCTTTAACTCAATTTTTAAGTCTTACATTATTGGTAAAAATCTTACCTTTAGGCAATAAACAACTACACAAAATTGCATTCTTTTCTCAGTTTGTAACTCTAAACAGGATTGAAATTTCTCATAAATGACCAAAAACCAAACTTGGTTGAGGGTGGTGGGTCGATGATAAATATACCAAACTTTATTGCATTAAAGTTTTCATGTTAATTTTCCTAATTTATTAATATTTATAAAATGAATGAATGGAAAAATTACATTTTATAGTAAAATTCTTACAATAAAAGCATGGTTTAACACAATTTATAACACAATGGAGTTCAATGCCCAATACACTAGTCCAGGGGTTTTCAACCTTTTAGGACACGCGTCCCTCCAAGTTTGTCCAATTTCACCCAAGTTTGTTTCATTTTTCCTCAATAACTGTGACCTTTTATATACCTGTGCTTTCTCTAAAGGTTCAACAAACAGTTTCAAAACATTGATCTATCAGTGTAATTTCATATATCAGGCTGTACAAGGTTAAGAAACTAAACAAATTTTGCCATGGCATAGACCTTAACAAAGCGTAACAAATTTATAATTGATGTCTAAATGATTTTTTTTTTAGCTCTGAGTTCACAACCCTCTAGCATTTCTAAATTGTCCTTCAGAGTTTGAATGTGTGTTTTAGTTTTTGTCAGTGCTACATATAACAGTATAAACCCCTGGAATCGATTCTCAGAGGTCACAAGTGTTTAATTGTTTGCCTTCTCGCAGTGGGAATCACTCGTGCAGTGCCGGGAGTGTGAAATACAATGACACAGAGTCGTGCTGGGGCCCTGTAAGACGCAAAGATGCCTACCGAGTGTTTCTGGTGAGTGCAGCAGTGCCTGTTACACAGTCAAACAAACGCACCTTGTTGGCAGCACTTATGTCTCGGCAGGGAGCTGAGCTCACACCGGTTGAAGGCTAAAGGTAAGAAAGACAAACGAGACGCTTAATACTTCTGCGTAATCTCTGTGGACTCCTGCCCACCGTGTATCAGGACGCTGTTGAGTGCCCTTGAAATTCACGCAGAACCACAGTGCAAGCCTCTGCTGTGATTTCCTGCTCTGCTTTAGCTTTGCTGCGGTGATTGATGTGCTGATTCATTTTGCTCTTCTCCACCTTTCTTCATCTCCACAACCGAGGGAAGTGGCTGTCCTGTCTGCCAATAAAAAGCATTGTTTCAGCTTTTTTTTTTCTTTCCTTTTTTTAATCTCATCACTTGGATAAGCCTCTTACAGCATGTTAACCACAGGAAATGATGCTGATTTAAGAATATTTGCTGATATGTGCTTGCCTTACAGATGAGGATTTCTTTTTTTTGCCCTTCATGCTTGGTTTGTCATCGTGTATTGAGTTTTTAGATGAGATCACATGCAGTTCTGTATCGTCTGTAATTGAGTTTATTTTATTAGATCCTTTCTAGTGTACACATACATCTAGAAGACAAAACCTACATCTTCCATACCCAAAACTACAAAGGCCATCATTAATTTTCCTTCTGGACATGCTCTTAAATAAATCATCTTTTCTTTGATGAAATATTTATCTGACTGGCTTATGAACCGAGTGTCGCTGGAGCTCTTCCTTTCACCTTCACCTTCACCTGTCTCGGTTGTTGTATAGGAGGAAAATTGGCCAATTTTGAGTCTGGGAATGTCCAAAGGGGCTGACTGTCTGAGCCACCAACTTTATGAGCTTTTTTAGACCAGAAAAATCTGTGCTACAGGATATATTTACGACTTCTGCCATTTTAAAAAGGCATTTTCCAGTCCTCAATACTGGGGAAAAAAAACTTTCTTTCAACTTTAATTACCAAAAAGTATTTTATTTATTTTTTATTTGTTACTTAAATCATAATTAAAATGAAAAATAATAAATAAAATAATGATACATTAAAATAATAAAAAATGTTCCTGAAATTAATTGCATTAATCCTAATAAAAATATCAAGTTAAACTTTGCATAGCTTAATGAAATATAGTTGAAACCTAATTAACTTATTAAAATGAGTTAAAATAACAAAAACATTTATTCATGACTTTTTGTCATAATCTTTTTACAGTGTTGGAAAGTGAAAGTGAAATACACTTTCAAATCTGAATTTATCAAATAAAAACCTGAAGTGATTTCAACACGAATGCAGTTTATTTGAAAACATTAACTTTTTGCTAATAAGTTAAGTTGTTTTTTGTTTTTTCTCATTCATATAATTTTTTTTTTATTTTTGTTTGTTTTATTTGTCATAAATCGAATTTCATATAATTCTGCTTATTTGTCATGAATGTGACTTTGCCAACTACAGCCATATCACACTGCAGCCCAAGAGTGGTTACTCACTGAAGATAAGCAGGGCTCAGCCTTGTCAGTACATGGATGGGTGACCACATGGGAAGAACTAGGTTCCTGTTGGAAGTGGTGTTAGTGAGGCCAGCAAGGGTCGATCAACCTGCGGTCTGTGTGCGTCCTAATGCCCCATTATAGTGAAGGGGACACTATACTGTCAGTGAGTGCCATCTTTAGGATGCGAAGTCACGACTCAATGTGGTCATTAAAATCCCATGGCACTGCTCGTAAAGAGTAGGGGGGATATTCTATTCTGTGAATTTCCTCTATCTTCCTTTACCCATCATGGCCTCCCAATCATTCCTATCCACCGACTTGGCTATATCACTGCCTCTCCACTCCACCAATAGTTGGTTTGTGGTGAGTGCACTGGTACTGTTGTCCTGTGGCTGCCTTCGCATCGTTCAAGTGGAGGCTGCACAGTGGTGGTGGTGTGGGGTGTGGAGAGCCCCCCCTGCCCCCCCTTTTTCTAATTGTGAATCGCTTTGGGTGTATGGTCATATACAATAAAACACGCTATATAAATACACATTACATTAAATTACAAAATAAATAAATAAATAAATAAACTGTTATTTTCAAGTTTTTCATTAAGAATTCACCCTTTGAGACTGTTCCGTCAAATTTACCATGCCAGCAGATTTTAAACACACATTGGTGCTTCAGTGTTTTAACATGATCACAAAAATGTCAGGTCACATTTGCATGCAAATGAGTGACATTTACAAAAATAAATCCACCATCTTGAAACTAGCTTCATTTTTAAGCTTATTCTTGGCCTGGTCTGAGATCACTTAACCGGCTGCGTTAGTTTCATCTTTAATTGACATTCACTTTCAGTAAAAAATTGTTTAAATCAAAGGAAGCTGGTTAGTGTCCTTGTTCACATATCTGGCCTTGTGTTTTTGATCAGTGCTGATCATGCAAATCTGTCTCCTGTCCTATTAAAGAGAGATGAGGCGCAAATCTATTCCAGACGCCATGGTGTGAGGAAAAATGAGAAGATCGAACACTTTCACCTGTTATTACATCTTAAATCTTCAGAAGTGCATTCAAGGCAGTTTCTGGAGAAGCGTCATGTTTCTGGGAATAATTGCAGATTATTGAATTGTATCTAAATGCCCATACGTCCTTCAAACTTTGTCTTTATAATGCCATTTCTTTAATCCATCCCTTGCTCTCTTTACTTTCGAGTCCTTCCCTTTTGGAGACCGAGTTAATCATGACCCTACAGCTACTGTAATGCAGATGTGTTTGTTTTTTTTCTGCTTTTTGGTGTGCCTTGACTTTGACTCAGAGCTGTACGTGGTCTGCCTGAGAATATTTGACAGCGGTGGTCAGTTGTATCCCCCGGTGGCCTGCGGGATTGGTGTTTGACACATTAGTGCAGCCTCATGGCATAAGCTTTTAGAAAAGGAAGATTAAGAAGGGATATTATGCCTTCACGTAACACCTTGCCTCTCTGTAATCCCCGAGTGGGTGGCAGACCATGACGCTGTTCTTTCCCCACTTGTGACACACAAAAGAGGGATGTTATGGATGTCTTTCTTTTGTGCAATGCAGCTGCCAATGTGTTTCCAGGAATGGAGCGTCCAAGAATTTCAAAACTGCATAACTCAGCAAAGGTCTTTATAGCCTTTTTTTTTTTTTTTTTTTTGCTTTGTACTGCTTTACGACTCTTCACACCTATTACAGCACAACTGTACATTTTGTGAAACGTCCTGCCTCAGCAGAGGATGACATCTCTGTCTTGTATAGTAAGGATGGGTGAGGATGGATGACTAGTTGTCTTTGCTTCTTCTTCTTTTTCTGTAAAGCTGTGGTGCTTTAAAACGTTATGGACTTTGTTAATGGACAAAATTGAGTGAGTGTTGCCATCAAATAGTGCTATCATTTCCAGGGATGTGTGAGTGTGAAATGGCAAAAGTTATTTATGCTTTACAATATACACTGACTACGTTTTGACTGTCTTGTACTCAGAATGTAAGGCTGAGCTGATAAACAATATATCGAATCGCAATAAAATTTTCGTTAATAACAATGGTAAGCTATGGAATTTTTCTTTACTCTATATTGATCTAATAGCCTATCACACAGCAGAAATCTGCAACAATGGGAATCTAGAATTGTGTTGATGTTAGAGATATACCAAATTTTCGACAACCGAAAATTTATCATCTAAAAATAGTCAATTTAACAAAACCCTTTTTTATAAATATAAGTGAATAATTCAATATAGATAGATATACAGTGGTTGCTCCTTAATCACGCGAATTACATTCTAAAAAATATCCCACAATAGGTGAAATCTGCAAAGTAGTCTGCTTTTTTTAAAAAAAATTTTACAATTAAAAGATGTATAAGCTTTAAAACCCCTCACTTCACACTTAATACACTTTTCTCAGACATGCATTAACGTTTTTCCTGCAGTCACCGATACACAAAGGTCTTGTTGCGGACAGTTTTTTTTTTTCACCTTTTTGCATCGTGGTTAAAGCTCATTGATGCTGTCATCCTTATGTTATCTTCTTTCTTTATATAACGAAACGATTTATTTAATCGGTATTAGCACCCTACGGCCGCGTAACTTCTACCTTTAGCATGTCCAGAAGTCAAACTTTTTGTGCAGTAGTTAGCATCTTTCTCTGCCTTTTGGGTGCTACCAAAGGTACTCTTGACAGTGCAGAACGTTTCGTCGACATTGTGGGGTTTATTGGGTAGAAAACTTGCAAACAAATACAGTACAGCACTTTAGAGTCACACTGACAAGCACAACATATTCTGTACAGTACAGGAGACATGGCACAAAAGAAACCAGGCTCAGTTTGGCAGGATAATTTCTCCTCTGGCCAAACTTCTTGTATAGAGCAATGGTCTGTAGCCAATCAAAATGCAGAACACAATGCACTGTTAAAAAAAAAAAAAAAAAAAAAAAAAAAAAAACAACAACAACTTAAAAATTGCACTAAAGAAATATGTAAAATTGTAAGTTGAACTGCGTTATGGTAAGGAACCACTATATACACAGTAGCTATGTTTCCATTCACCTATTTTTATGCGCATTTTGGAGATCCGCATAAAAATCAGTTGATGGAAACACCAAGATGCACATACATTTTGAAAGTGCGCATAAAAAACTGAATGTGCATAACAGAGTAGGATGCACATAAACTACAATGGAAACACTTTGGCCAAACAAATTTCAGTTTACGCATTAACAAAGTTACTTGTTATAAGAGATCATGTGATTATTAAAACGTGTGTGAATAGACAATCCAGCAGGCTTAGCACATTGTAAAACAACTGAAATGTTGTTTTGTTCATTATAAAACGCCTGAACCATTTCAATATTAGTGTTATTATATTATTAATTACCTCAAGACTTATTGAGCGCCTGTGCTCCGTGTCATTTATTAACTACAGAAAAGATTCACGCAGCTTCTCCTACAGCAGCAAATTCTGTTTTTACTGTTGATATTTGGC